TTTGGCTAATGAGAGTGAGAAAGATTTTATAGAAGACAGGTTTTAAGAATAAGTTTGTGTATGGATTCTCAGTTTCCCAGAATGGAGATGTGCTACTGTGGCTTTGTTGGCAACGTGCAGATGTTAGGCATTCCTGGCTTCCTGCTGACTATTTTCCATGTCACATAATTGCAAAATCCATGAATTCTCTTCAGGCCAATAATTTTGGTTTCTGGTTGGTCACATCTAATTATCACTACAATGCCGACCATGACTAATATGGTTGTTTTCTTTGATTTCTTTCTTTTTCTATCAGTATCATTTGTAAGCATTATCCCTTTGGAATGGCATTGCATAAACCCACTGATCTTGGCATCAGTTTCTTATTCATTACTTTTTAATATAATTGATACTGATGTATGATTCATCTGAAACTTCTCTTCTCGGCACAGTTTTCAATTTTCTGTTTAAGAAGGCTAATAAGCAATGCAATCATTTTTTAATCTTCCAACTTCATGTTGATCTGCAGCAAATGTTACAGTTTAGTTATTTTTCATGTTTAATATCGACAAACTGAAAATATTATGCCTTCATTGGGGTGTGGACTGGGAGCTGTGTTCTATTAGTACATCTTGCTTCACAGCTGTGTTTGAGACCCCCATGTTAACCTGCCAGAGGGTTACCACATCATCTCTTACATGTTGATAGCATCTATTCTGGAAATATCACCAGCTTTTTTAAAAACTAATAAACAGAAATAGTTTGAATTTGATACTAGTCCTTTAGAGAGGGGGAGAATATCTTGAAACCTTCAAATATTGCTGAGTGGAACTTGACTGATCCAAAAGTTTTACCAAAAATGAATAATAATATTGTCAACCTTACCAGGTAGACCAAACAGGAAATACGGCCATATGGATTAAATCTGCTTTATTGTAAAACCACATTTATTATTTATTTTAAAATTTATTTGCCGTGGGTTTACTCTAGGTGACTTACAATAATAAAAAGGAAGAACAGGAAAGGAGTGCAAACAGAAGAGAAGTAAAATAATAGAATAAAATAAACAATGACAAAGGAATACAATGAGAATAATATATCAATATGATAACTAGAAAGATGAATGGTGGAGAACAGAGATGGGGGATGGGATGAGTAGGGAGCTGGAGAATAGAATATTTAACATTAACATTAATTAATTAACATTTAATATTAAAAGAATCTTGCAAGTTTGAAAATACAGTTTTCCTGGCATCATCTTTAGAACCTGATATCTTAGGGAGGGTCTGTCTTGAGCCTCTTGCCCCGCCCACTGTGCAGCCATGGGCTAGGTTTCCTCTTCTCTGACTGTTTCCATCTCTTCTCAGGGTCTCCTAAGGTCATTCCTACATACCATTACATGTTCAGGAAAATACAAAGCCATTCCCCAGCTTCTGCAAGATTTCTATCAAGATTTATGAGTAATAATATTGTGGACGCAGATAAATTGATAGATAGTGGGCTTTAGCCTTTGTGATTCCCAGCTGTTTTGTATTTTCTCCAAAAGTTAATTTTCCTTTATACCTTTTCTCAAGGGAGTATTAGAAATCTCTATTTGGCTTTGTCATAAACGTCATCCACTCTGCCAGAAATAGTGCGAGATCAATTTGCAAAAAACAACCAACACAGGGATGACCTTCCCATAGTTTATTTTTCCAAAGTACAGTTTTACACATCCTGAAGTCACTTTTGACTTTGCTCAACATACAGAAACGAAGGCCAGTATTATTGAATTGTCAAAGCAACAGAGTCATGAATAAACGAGAACTTCCATTTGTTTTGATTGTAATGAAATTTTTCTCTTCCGATTCTTTCCAGATGTGTCTGAATGTCATTTAGTATAGCTGTTTAATCTTAATTGTATGCACATAGAGCATTCATTGGATGAAAAGACAAGTTATAAACTAGTACAATTAAATACATTTAAATGTAACAATAGGCAGAATTCAGATATGTACAGTACTTTGAGTGAAAATGTTTCTGATGATGGAATGATTTCCTTCCGTGCAGTACTTTCTATATTTACAAAATTTGCCCTAATTTTCTGAGACAGATTTGGCAGACTTTCTGTATGGGAGAAGAACACTGAGGGAGGGAAAATTCTATTTCACAAGTCAGATACTCGCTTGCATAATGCTGCACTCCATCACATCTTCCTGGATGTTGTATTCTGTCTTTCCCATCTAAAATAAACGGAACAGTAACAATTTGTAATATTTAAATTGTTTTTATATGCAATATATTTGACATAAGAAGCTTCAGTGTTTGCATCTGTCCTGAACACATTTAATATGATTAAATATAAGAAGGAATGAGCAAACATCCAGCCATGGTAAACATGTATGCATAAAGCCAGCTTCCCTCTAATGTCCATTTATTGAACAATTACTGAATTCATAGGACTGGACTGTGACTATTTGGGAGTTCTTAAAGCTTATGATCTCCTTTGTTCATCCTGTGTTTGAGTGAATCTCTGTGTGAGTTTATGTGCTAGAAATATTTGTGTGTATATTAGAAATATATTTGTGTGAGTAAACATATAGTTGTCATGTCTTTTAAAGGCTTTGTGGACCGGCGGGGGGAGGGGAGAGCGGATGGTTTCGTGCGAGTGGCAGGCAGGCGCATGCACACACTCGTAGCTCCATTTGTATGGGCAACAGGCACTTGCACCCACTGCTTGCATAAATAGAGTGGGTGTACTCCCTTCTGTTTATGCACCTGTGCACTCGCTCGCCCGCCACTTCCGTGGCCTGGTTCCAAAAGGCTCAAGGTCCGGTAGTGGGCCACAGCCCGGGGGTTGGAGACCCCTGTTTTAAAGCATTAAATAGAGATTTTGACAACTAATCAATCTGGAAGCAGTGTGGAAATATTTCAAAACTGTCTAGTCACTATAATGCAAAGATTCAAGCTCATAAATAAAGCAACATCATACTGTATACAAGGCACAGACAATGTGAGTTTTACTTTTATCCACATATTTATTTTCTTATTCACTTTTCCACCTCAAGTATTCCTAATGCTATTGGAAACATTTAAACCAACAGTGCAATGGATTTAAAATAATGAAAAGGAAAGTAGGAAAAGGAACTGATAACTCTGAAAGTATCATATGTACATCCTTCACTGTCTCAAAGGAGTCCCAAAAACATTCTTCTCTTCCCATTTCGCTTTCACAGCAAATCTGTAAAGCTGGGCTGCAAGAGAGCAACCAGCTCACAGCCAGCTTCACAGCTGAGTAAGGATCTGAGTCTATCCCACTTGTGTGCCCCATTCCTACTCTGTCACCCTTAAGCATCATATCATAGGCCACTGTCTTTTTCATCCAAACAGGAAAAGAGCACTAAATGTGGTGGGAAAGGCCCATTATGGGGAAAATGATATTACCCATACAGTACCTTATGTCCAACTCCGGCACTTAAGGCTGTGAAGAAAATGTGATGAATGCAGAGCATAGGTGCCACCCAGTGGTAAAACACATAGTTGTCCCAAATGGGTTCTGTTCAAATGTATGACATTTCACAAATTCAAAAGGGATTATTTAAAGTATTATCCAAAGGAACCATCTGTGGAAAATTGGAAATGCAGTAGGTGCAACATAGTAAACATAAGTTTCCCTGTCAGATATCTGCAGGTAGGAGTGGAAATTTATTTCCAGAGCCCAGCTTCTAATAACAACAGAAAGCTCAGCTTCTAACAACAACAGAGAGTGGTAGAGGAGGAAAAGTGTTATAATGAACTGAATAGGGAACCAAGCATGCTTACACTCCCTTCTAGTGAAAGCAAAGTGAAAATATAGAAATCACAGCTGAGTGCAAAAACAGCCAACCCCCAAAAACAAATAGGGCGAGAAAAGTACCACACACCTTTCATTTGACCACCCAGAAAAATTTAAGAAATAACATTTCTTCTTTTAGGGATTCTGCTCTGTGCATTTCCTTTGCCTGCTTTGTTTCAGAAATGATTTACAGATATCCTGTAAGTTAGAAGTGACACTACAGGTAGTCCTCAGCCTATGGCCACAACTGAGCCCAAATGTTTGGTTGTAAGTCATTCCAATTGGGAAGCCAGTCATCACTGACCTGACTCAATTTTACAACCTTTTTTTACAATGCTTGTTATGCTCATTAAGTGAATCGTGTGGAAAGTTTAAAAATGTTTTACTGTCTAGGTTTAGAAAGCATGTAGAAATGTTTTAATATTTTTCCAACATGTATGAGTTTTTCCACAGGTCTGAGGCTTTTTCTGATTTATAAAAGTAAAAATATTTTTTGCCTATTGAAATGAATTAAGCAAGTTAATAACTGGGCCCACACACCCTGCTAAGCTAAAGGGTGGCTCATTTTTTAGTATGATGTATGATTCCATCCACTCTAGTTATGGATGATTTATGATCATGTCACATTTGAGCCTAGGCAATTGTAGCTTTTTCAGTCATTGTTAACAAACCCATGCTTAGCATTATGTGTGAATCCTTTCAAACTTGATTTTACTCAAACAAAACTACAGAGCATTTAATTTTGCCTCAATTCAGTTATTAACTTGCTTAATTCATTTCAATAGGCAAAAGATATTAAGGCACAAAACTCAAAATCAGACATTTTAACTGTGGGCCACATAAAGACTTTGACCAAGTTTTGTGCCATTGATGGGATTTCTCCCTACCCTAATTTTTCCCCAGTATTCTCCCTGACTCATTTTTTCCCATTATTGCCAGACTGATAGTGGGAACAACTGAGAGAACTTTTGGCAATTGATGGGACAGAGGAATTATGCAAAGGGGTTGTTGCTGGCCCATCCCTTGTTCTTTTTTCCAAACAGGCTAACTTTCCTCTGTGCTTGTGTATGTTGTGGATGTCCTTTATGGGTAAGAGGGAAGGAGAAGAATTGCTGGACTCAACAGTCACTTTTTCAGAATCAATTATCTGTCTTGGGTTGCCAGCTCTGGTACACGAGGAGGTTTAATTCAATTCTGTTGTCTCTAGGTGATTCCTCTGTTACCAAAACTGCCAGTGCCCCCACCTGTTACTTCCCCTGACCTTGCCAAAAAACCTGTGCAATTAGAGGAGGCTGAATATACTGCGAGTCCACATGTTCCTGCAAGTAAGTTCTTGTTTCCTAGTACTGGCAAAAAATGTTTGTCAAAAAGTTAATAATAATAATAATAATAATAATAATAATAATAATAATAATAATAATAATAATAATAATAGTAATAATAGTAATAATAGTAATAATAATAAATAATTAACAACAACAACAACAACAACAACAACAATAATAATAATAATAATAATAATAATAATAATAATAATAATAATAATAATAATAATATAATGGAGATTTACCACTAAGCAAAAAAATATGTGCTTTCTTTTCATATCACAAAAACAAGCAATGTTCTGTACTTGGTATCTCTTACTAATGTTACACTGAACATTAATATAGTATAACTTCAATAACTATCTACCTATCTATAGATATTATCTTTTTTGGAATCTTTATGTAATTTTTATTTATTTATTTATTACATTTGTATCTCACCATCAAGATTCCAGGTGGCTTACGAGATAAAAGCGACAATGGAAAACAGTAAACTATAATTTTGTTTTAAATAAAGGCAATGATTTTAAAAAGTGGGGAATGTTGTGACATAGTTGTGCAGAAAGGAGTGCAAAAGTAATCAGAATCTTCAATGTCCTTCAAGTTAAGCTTGTATTGAGCAAGCCGAAATATAGGAGACAACAAAGCACAGTAAAGAATTCTGCAGGTTTTAATTGAGAAGAAAAAGGTGTATAAATGAATGTGTCACCTGAGATGTGGAAAAGAATCTGGTTTTACAGTTGAACCGGTCGTGGGATTCAGCCAGTTCGCACCAGTTCGGTAGAACCGGTAACTAATTTTTTGTTGCCCAGGCCCAGAATGGACTTCTGGAAGCGGCATCCATACAGAGAACTGGTTGTTCACATATTTGAATCCCACCACTGAGTTGAACCAATTTATTGGGATGTAATTTCAAATGTGAAGCTACAAAGAAGTACAGATATATAGTTTCTTATATATATATATATATTAAATAGTAGCTGAGGGTAACCGGTAGGCCCTTTTTATGTTACATTATAGCTTTCAGTGATGTTGTGATGTGTGCTAAGTAGGACTATGGAAATTGCTGGCCTTGTGTTAACAGTATGTCCAGAAAGGGATCAGTAGTCCCTTTCTGGACATTTCCCTGCTAGCAGAAACACTGTATTACATAATCTCCCTGAAACAGAATTCACAATAATAATCTCTCATCCATTCAGTTCATTTTAAATTTTGCCCTATCCCTGAACACCAAGCATTCTGGATTCCAGGCTCCCTTATTGCACGAAGCAGATAATTCTGACCAATTCTTTTTCATTCTCCTTATAGGTGGAACCAAAGGTGAAAAGGGAGACCCTGGAGAGAAAGGGGACCGTGGCCCCAAAGGAGATCCTGGGGCTGGTGTTTTGTCAACCAATGGTGATAAAGGAGAAAAGGTGAAATAGCAATAAACAGCTTGCTCCCCTTTCCTGTTTTTTTACTGAAAGGCAACCATGTTGTGATCCAAGTTCACTCAAAGAAGGAATATAGGATGGCCTTTCCCCCTTTCCTTTCCTCCTTTATTAAAAGTATTCTGATCGTCGTCTTCATTCCCGCCCCTCTATCCTGACACCTGCCTCCATTAGATATTCCATCTGTATAAAGAAAATGGTGGTTTCCCAATAGGCAGTGAAGTGAACTTTCACCAGTTATCAAATTATTTCATGAATTTAGGAGTAGCTTCTACCACATTCGGGGGGTGTGGTGGGGAGGAAGAAACTAGGCCAGCATGGGAAACAAAAGCATTTCAGATGGACAGTTGCCCTTTAATTGCCTTTAGTCCTTGGTGATCAGGAGTCAAAAACTAAAGAGAAGGGAAATAGCCACTTGCCTCTATTCTCTAAAATAAATAATGGTAGCATCTGACGAGGAAGGCATAAATCTGAAGTAGTGGAACTTTCTCACTTTTCCAACAAAAGAATAGAAAGATTGTCCAAGCGTAAACTGCATTTGGGGGCAAATATAGGAATGTGTGAGATCAGGAGGAAAGGCAACTTCTTGTAAAGGTGATAAAAATACTTTTTTTTTTCTTAGGAAGGATTAGAAATTTCCTTCTAATGTCTGGCCACTGATATTTTTATTGCTCTTGAACCAAAGTGAATTTTATGGGAAGCACACTTGGTTTGTGTGTTCATGAGAGATGCTTGCATTCATTTAATGTTAAAATGTTCCTTTTCCCAACACAAAGCATTCCCACTGTTGGATTACAACTCATCCTCTGTAGCCCAGCCAATATTTTGCTAATGACAACTGATGGGAGATGGAGTACAACACATCTAGAAAGTTCTAAACTAGAAAAAGCTGCATTAGCAGCGGCGTAGCTCCTTTTCTTTTCCCACAGACAGAAGCTCGGTGGATAATTAATTTTGCTGAATGTTGGATTGATTGTTGGATTTTGTTGTATATGTTAGATTACGCAGTACTGAAAAGCTTTGCTTTGCTCTGCTCTGCTCTGCTTTTTGCTTTTGCAGGGAGAAAAGGGGGAGCTGGGTGTAAAGGTAAGCATTGCAACAATCTTTTTTTGCCTCTAAAAAAGGTGTCAAAGGAATATTGGAATGAGAACCTAGTGCATACGTATCTGACATATTAATAATGATTTCACTATATACAGATCTAAAGCCCTCAAAGTACCATCTCCACTCCAGAGGGCAATTTTAAACAGTGTAGGAACTTCCATAAGAGCAATAATTTTAAGAGGAAAGCCCCTCTGAGGACAGCAAATCCCAAGAACAGCCCATTGAAAATTGAAGAGCTAAATTCATGCAATAAATTTTACCATAGTTTAACACAGGGGTAGGCAACTATGGCTCCTTACGACCTGTGGACATGCTGGCTTGGGGATTCTGGGAGTTGAAGTCCACAGGTTGAAAAGGTGCCATCGTTGCCTACCCCTATGTTAACATAATAGCCTAGTTCACAATATGCTAAAACAACAGCTGAATTCCCATAACACACTGAACAAGAACAACCTAACACTAGTTCTCTCTAAACCAGAGGTTTCTAAAGTAGGGGTCCCCAACCTGTGGGCTGTGGCCCGCTACCAGGCCGTGACCTATTTGCAACAGGGCCACTTGAGTGGCGGGCTGGTGTGTGCGCATATGCACACTGCCCAACTCATGCAAGTGCGGGCGTCGGCACTCACAGCCCCACTTGTGTAAGTGGTGAGCGCCTGTGCCCGCCACTCCCACAAATGAAGCTGTGCGCGCCTGTGTGGACGTGCCTACCCCTCACACAAAACCACCCCCTCTTTCCCCCCTCCCCCTGCATCAGGCCGCCAGCCTGGAAAGGTTGGAGCACGCTGTTCTAAACCTTTTGCCATCACAGCTCCATTTAATGTAATCTTAATGTACACACCTCCCCCAAAATTGCAAATGTCAAAACTAAACGAAATGAACAATGAAAACAATGTAATGAAACTTTGGGAATGGTGAATTGATTGTAACAATGTACAACTCAAAGGTTCTTTACCTTCCCTGGACTCTGACTGCACCTCCCTAAGGGGAGCTTTATCTCTCGGTTTTGGAAATTCTGCTCTAACCAGGGCAGCAGATGTACAAGTCATCAGGTTTTCTGAGCAGATGCAAGGATTTTTGAAAAACATATATGCATAATTTACTTTATGTTTTTAGATTTTATTATTTCTTTATTTTCCCACCTTTATTATTTTTATTAAAAGATGGTGAACATACCTGATACTCCTTCTTCCTGCCGTTTTCCCCACCAGAACAACCCTGTGAGGTGGGTTGAGCTGAGAAAGAGTGACTGGCCCAAAGTCACCCAGTTGGCTTTCATGCCTAGGGCAGGACTAGAACTTATGGTATTCCATTTAAAAAAAAAAAAAAAAACCCAACAACATTGAAGTTACATATTTTTATGCAACTGGAAAGATAACTATATATAAAATGAAGATAAAAAGTAAAACAGGAGTGCCTGGCTTTAAAACGACTGCATCCCCAATTCATTATTTTCATTATTAACATGAGCTGCTGTTGGTTCCCCTCAGTTTTTGCCAGTTTTTATCGCTTTTCCAGAAAAAGTCATGGAGAGAAAATGCCCCCTTCCCCATTTTCCTGTCCTTTTTATTGAACTTTCCTTTCCTTGTGCCACTCAATTCCTCCTTCAGCTGGAGCCCAGCGAAGGTCCTAGCTTCCTCCTCCTTCCCCCTATTTATTTATTTATTTGTTTGTTTATTATATTTATATGCCTCCTATCTCACTATCTAGTGACTCTTTGCTTATCTTTTGGACAAAATACACTTTGTTAGTACATCGTCTATGGCAGTGGGAGAAGGACCCTAGGGATCATTGTCAAACACCATTGTAGGCTAATGTTTGGTGTACTGAGAACCCAGTCAGCAGTACATAGTAGTGTAAGCTAGTTGTTGAGTGGGTGGGCAGGGATATAGAAAACTGAGATAGGTCAATCAGATCAAAGGCTACTGTATTTATCTAGAAGTCTCTTCATTACTACTGGACTGAGGGCAACATGCCTCCAATAACTGTAGTAGAGGAAAGTCCCTGGAAGAGATCTTGCTGCTATTTGAAATACAAAATGCTGGACTAAGTGGGCCTTGCCTGGATTCATCAAGGCTGTTCTTGTGAGACAGAAAGTGGGTAGGAATGAAATAGAATAGCTAGGAAACACAGTAGTTTTATAAGAACCATGAATAATATTCTTTCTCATGGCAGCATTCTCACATGCTTTCAAAGAAAAATTAGATCGTACAGACATTTAATTTATCCCTAGAGAAATTTATCCCTAGGGTAACTCCATAGTCTCCAAATTCTGCTTTTACATCTTCCATCCCAAGGCTTCGGCAAAAGATAGAACGAAATGACGTTAATTTGAGGGAATCCTTCCTGATTCAAATGGGTTTCCATCTAAAGCACAACAATTTCTTTGTGCAATTAATTTATGCGCAATTGCTATTATTTGCACAAAAATAAAGATTTTTTTTTAGCTAAGACATTCAGTTTGATGGCTTGCACTCAATCTCTAAATATAGAGATATCCTCTTCTTTATATTTGTTGTTGCATATCTTGCCTCTAACATCCACTGGTACCAAATGAATCACTGCTTGGAACTTGCCTGGGGAGTGAAAGATGCTTATTGTGTTATCAGAATTTGGAATTAAGTTATTTGTTGCAAAAAGCATTCACTTTCCATCATAAAATTGAATGGAATGCTTTTTTGCTTAACAGCTTGGAAAGAAGCCCTATTTTTAGACTAACGTTATTGAGCTGTTTCTACAAGGTAAAACAGTTAAATCAACCTATACTTAGTCTAACATTGCAAGAAATAGAACAAAGTTCCTTACATTTAAAAATAATTGCTTTCCGCTCTTTTTTCCTTTTAAAATATGTGCTAGAATCTCTTCATACATAAATATTCTGTTCTGGAGCAATTGCGCAATGCATACCTCCATAAGCACATATCCAAGATGGGGAAATATTCTTGAATTTAGGGGGATCAAAACAGGATTAATTTCCCTAAAGCAGTGGTGGCGAACCTATGACACGCGTGTCAGAGGTGGCACTCAGAGCCCTCTCTGTGGGCACGCGCACCGTCGTCCCAGCCCCGCCTCTCCCTGCGGCCCCCACCTCACCAGCAGCCCCCCCAGAGAAGAGTTGCCCCCGAGCACGGCCCACGTGGAGCAGCCAAGAACATGGCAGCTGCACAGCAGGGACAAGACTCCGCCCTTGTGCCCCGTCACACGCAGTTGATTCTGTGAGGCACAAGCAGAGGGCGTGGCTTCCATGGTGCTGCTGGGCCGCCTGGGTGATCTGTGGAGGCAATGGGCCCTGTGGGCAGGCGGGACAGGGGTCGGGGAGCGGGATGGGGGCTAGGTGGGGGTGGAGCAGGCAGGGTGGGGGCGTGGCCTGGTTTTGGGCACTCGGTCTCTAAAAGGTTCACCATCACTGCCCTAAAAGAAGAATCTCAATTAGCAATATAACACCCCCAAAACCTGACAAACGAGCAAAACATAGCTCAAATATTTCTAGCTTTATTCCAATGAATAATTAACTTGCATTATTTGAAAAGGGCCTGATGTGAAAAATGGAATAAATAAACATTGCTAAATTCCAGATGGCTCAAAACGTAAGCAACTGGAAACCCAAATTCTTCAGGAAAGAAAACAGTCAAATTAAAATAGAGACGTTTCCTGGAACAATGCTAGCTATGACATGGCATCTTAAAGAGGACCTCTGTCTAGCCCTTCAGCCTTCTGGATGTTTCCTCCCTTTAGGAAAGGGAAATAACAGCCTCCCCCCCCCTTTTTTTTCTTTTTACTTCCGGTCAGTATAGTTTCTCTGTAGTAGACCGAAGGCCTTAGTTGCTTCCTTTTGTCCCCCTTCTCTCTGCATCTGTCCTAATCGTAACCTCAGCCACTATGGAAGTTGTTTATATCCCTGCCCCAGTGGAGGAAAGGTGCGCTTCCTCCGTTGTCTCAAATGGTGGGTGGGCAGATGGAATGGAGAAACAGCATTTGGATCAGCGTCATGTGGGTGGTGAAGGCATGACATGCAATATGATTTAATGTCTAATTTCTTTGCTTTGGCAATAGCATACTGTATGTAGCCTTTGCTCACAGGCCAGCGCATCTGTTTGCATTGTCGTTTTTGATGTATGCGTAACAAGTTACCAGAAGTAGATCTTATGTAGAAGACTTGTTCCTTCTTCCAAAATAGTATTGGGTAAAGCACTTGAACTTATATTGGTATAAACTCTGATTTAAGGCTAGAAAAACAACACAAATACACAATAATTAATATATTGCAGGGAGAAGCAGCCTGGTATCCTCTAGACATTTTGGATGATAGTTCCCAGGGTCCCTTGCTGATGGGGACGGGGACTGATGGGGACTGAAGTCCAGTATGACTGGAGGCTATCAAGCTGCCTGTCTCGGTACGTCCCGTATGTGACAGAAGGAAATGGGAAGATAATAATTCATACCCATTCCATTTCCAACTTAGAAGAAACTATATTTGTCTTGTTTTTCATTTTTCATATTTTCTTCCCCTTTAGGGAAGTGCAGGCTTTGGATATCCAGGCTCTAAAGGACAGAAAGGTGAGCCTGGTATTCAAGGGCTTCCTGGTCCAATTGGGCCCCCAGGACCTCCTGGAACCATCATGAAGCACTCTGATGGCTCTACTGTTCAGCAACCAGGAGCCCCACTAGGACCTCCTGGAAAAGATGGTCAACCTGGAAAGGATGGAGAGCCTGTAAGTTACCTTTTTATATGATGGTTGATATCCACTGGTGGAAAATGCACAAAGGGTTGGAATGGCTTGCCTCTTAGAATTCATTAATTTATTGCTACTCTACATTGGCATTCATGCAAGGAGTAGCCAAGGGTACCAGCCTTAGCTGGACTCATGCCCTATGCAGCATTTTCTATTAACAGGACAATTCCTTTTGGACAGATTTTTGCCAATATGCCACCAGCAGAACCAGAGTCCAGTTTTATCCCAAGTGTGCTTATACTAATCCATTAAAACTAGTATTTCTAACCTAAAGACCGCCTTGGAAACCAACATATTGTTGGCAACATTCCACTATATTACAAGATAAATATCATCATTTATTGATTTAGAATACATATACGATAAAGTGAATAGTCTAGTATCATGGAACTTTATATGTGTATGAAGATAAAAGTTGGTTGTTCTACATGATGAAAATAAAACGTGCATGAGAATAAATGGCTTACAGAAGGGCAGGTGGATGAAGTTATGTACCTCAGTATAATTTACTAATACAAAAATATAGAGACCTTTTTAAGCATGCAGATGCTGGTTAAAAAAACCAGGCGGTATGTAGTCTGTTGTGAGGGATGAATAAATGTTTGTGTGTAAAAACATGCTTTTACCCTTTTGTTATATGGAAATGAGAATTGGATGTATCAGGAGAAACTTAAAAGTAAGTGGGATGGCATAGGACTGAAGCACTGAAGAAATGTGTATAGTAAAATAAGAATCAAGAATACCTGGATAATAAACAAATCTAGATTTAATACAAAAGTGAATGACCAGTATGAAAGAATTATGTCATATAGGTTTGCACATTGAGAGAGAATGAATGAAGGCTGAATGGATAACAAAATAAATATATGAAGGCATGGCAAATGGGTTGAAAGAAAGAGCAAAATAAAAAAAGCTGGATGACTGTTGGTGAGATCCTCAAGAAGTGAAAGGTCAGGAGTTTATGAAGCAATGTATAAATCAGTGATTGGATGAGGAAGAAGGAAAGAGGGTTTGGAAAGAGGGAAAGCTATGGAGAGAAATACTGAATGATATTGGCATAAAGCAGATCAATCTATACTTTCTTTTTCTTATCTCATGGCTTAAATTTCTTTAGCTTACTATTTCTTACTCCTTTTCTGCTCTCTGCGTAACATCACTTATCCTGAAAGGGAATATTCTCATAGGTATGTATACATGTATGCACTTATACATTGGAATGAGCAAAATGTGATTACATTCTCTGTATACAAATAAATCCATATTGATACCACCTTTCAGGTTCACCATAAAAGCCAATAGTCCTAAAGATTTTAGTGAACTTTTTCTGTCCATTTTCTTATTTTCTTCACATGAGTTTCCTATCCATTTGCTTCCCTCTCAGTTTTTGTTTCATCCACCAGATTTAAGACTTATTTAAAAATGGAACCTTTAAAGTGCAAAAAACCCCAAAACCCTTTAGTTGGTAGATTGTTTTTGAAGATTATAATAGCCATTCTATTAAGGGGCATAAATAATGAAGCCATGATGGTCTTTTATACAAAATCCATGATTGGCCCTTATTTGTTAGAAATATGACACAAAATAGTGTGCAATCAGGTTTTAAATTCTAGAGATGGCTTCCATAGACAGGAATTTTTCATTTTCAATGGAAAATTTCACTTGAACTTTGATATGTCTTTGGTCTTTCAGCTTAATAGTCCTCAAAACAGATTCCCTTTTTCAAATATATTTTAGTTTTGCTTCTGCTTTTTTGCCTGCATATTTTGTTCCTCCAGTCCCCAACTCCAGCATCACATGAATTAGACTTGACACATCCTCCCTATCCTGTATAAAAGACCATCATGGCTTCATTATTTATGCCCCTTAATAGAATGGCTATTATAATCTTCAAAAACAATCTACCAACTAAAGGGTTTTGGGGTTTTTTGCACTTTAAAGGTTCCATTTTTAAATAAGTCTTAAATCTGTTTCTGAAATATATTCCAGCAGATTCTGTAACCTCTGAAACAGATTTGAAACAGGTTTTGGGGTTTTTTGCACTTTAAAGGTTCCATTTTTAAATAAGTCTTAAATTTGTTTCTGAAATATATTCCAGCAGATTCTGTAACCTCTGAAACAGATTTGAGAACGAATAGAGGGTCACAGGGAAGAAGGGGAACAATCCTTTGTCTTAGAGGAAAAAGAGTGCCCTTCTAAGTTCTCCCCCCTATTGGTGCTCTTTTTAGATATTTTTATCATTGGCTTCTCTTCTCATTAGTAATCCTAATATTTTCCCTGTTCTTCTCTCTTTTGCTTCCTTTCTGAGCTGCTGTATTGTTGGACTCTCTTTAATACAGTCAGAATCAAGGCAAAATATTCTTCATATGTTTTGTGCAAGTCTGAGTGAGCTATCCCTGTAGCTGATTTAGCCAAATGTCATATGAATGTGAGAAGATAGCAGAGGAAATTAGCTTGGGTTTTGAAATTTAAATCACAACAATGTAAAAGTGCCTAAGTTCTGCTTCCAACATTTTGTTCTTTTTAGGGGGATCCCGGTGAAGATGGTAAACCAGTAAGTTCTGTTGTTTCTGCCTCACATTTGAGATATGAACTTTTTAGTTTTGAACTATACAGTTGTAAAGAAATTTCTGTATACCAAGCAAAACTGTCCTGAGTGTCTCACAGAAAAATGATGACAATCTTATACAAGTTTGCTCAGAAGTTACTCCCCATATGTTTTATGAGTTAACTTTCAAGTAGATGAGAATAAGATTGTATCCTAAGCCATATTTTATACAGACATTTCCAGACCAGACTTTTAATAAAAATGCTTGTTCTACATTCATTCAAGTGAAGTGTGTAATGATTAGGCAATCAAATCTGTAAATTTGTAAATCTGCCAGAATCATAACTGAGTTAGTCTAATGTCTCCAAATGGCCCCCCCTGACCTAAGAAATAAGAAAAACAAAACTAGGGAAGCCAAAAGAGTAAACTATAGGTATGTAAGTATTATATTTAAAATGCTCTTACAAAATTTATTCTTTTTTTAAAAAAAATGCAGTTTGTCATTCTCAGATACATTGTTTCATATTTGTTTATGAGTAATAAACTAAGTTGAAATGTTGCTTGAAATATTGAAACAGAATCCAGCAGTCATTAAAATGGGAAGAACACTTCTCAGCCAAAAGTGCTTTTCAGTTGTATCAGACCAAAGATGATTCACACATTGCACTGACTAAGCCAAGGGTTCTCAAACTGGGGTCGGGGCCCATCAGAGGGGTGTAAGTGACTTAGATGGAGGTCACAATATTTTGTACAATTTTGTTTATGCAGGTAAACAAAATTACGGATTTTGAAAAATCAGCTAATTAGGCTTGATCAAAATACATATTTATTCATTTCTTGTGTAGGGTGATGTTGGTCCCCAAGGATTCCCTGGAACTCCGGGTGAGCCTGGCCTGAGAGGCGAAAAGGTACAAATACTCTAAGGCTATAAAAATATGGCCGTGCTGTTACTGGAGTTCAACATTTTGCGAGTAGTCTGTTTTGACTGAGGGATTTTGGGGGGGGGGATTTTTGGGGAGAAGGGTACTGTGATCAGTGTTCTCAGCTGGGTAACTTGTTCTTTCCATCTAGGGAGAACCAGGTATTGGTGCAAGAGGTCCTCCTGGGGCCCCAGGCCCACCTGGGAAACCTGGACTGAGTTCCAAATTGGATAAGTTGGTGAGTTCCAAAGGCTCGTAATAAAGACACAGAGTGGAGCTTGTTTTTGTGGTCTTACCCCACCTAGGAAATGATGCTGCACTGCCAGGAGAGCTCTCTGCTTTTCTCTTTAGGCAAATTATCTGCCTTCCTTAACATGATTTAGATCTGTATAAGTGGAATTTCCACCAGCTGAATGAAACTACCAGATGTCAGGATTGCATGTGCCCCTGCTGCCCCCATTCTCAAATCTGAAACAGATGTTGGGAGCTATGCAGGAGGTAGGAGAACTCAGGAAAAATCACTCTGCACCACTGCAAATCCAATTGTTATATTTGGGTGGCGCCTTATTATAAACTGCTCACAAAAATAAAGGGAACACAAACCCCTTCAGTTCCATGGTAAAATGTTCCCTTTATTTTTTTGAGAAGTATATATCTGCCAAGTCTGTTCCTTTCTTATTCTAGGTAGAATTCTTTAATTTTCTCCAGCTTTTAACATTTTAAATTGCTTGAAAGTATTAGTTGTTCTGCCTTGAATAGTATTGTATTTTTTACTTTTGTAATGTTTTATTGTAAATATTTCTGGGAGAATTTACATAAATATTCATTATTCATTGGCTGTTCATTTAGTTTTCCAGGTGGAAGATTTAGTATATAAGGTATTAAATTGCAGAATAAAATTTCCACCCCCCTCCCTAAATTTATTAACATGCCCTGTTTGTCTGGATTTCTTCTCAGTATAAACCAAGAACACAGCAGGTGAAATTAGGCAGACATACTGTATTACTTTGAACTACTTAGGTCTTTGTTTAAGTAGCATTTAACTGTGATGTGCTTAATCATTTGTTTGCATTTATGCTTTTTTCTTCCAGACATTTATTGATATGGAGGGGTCTGGTTTTGGAAGTGAGTTGGAGACTTTGCGAGTAAGTACCTAAGTACCCCTTACTGAACAGAGGAACTGATGTTCCATTGATTAGACTGGATTTGGGAGGAGTAAAGAGAGAAACAATAATAGTGGCCTTCCTCAATATTGAGTCATCCAGATGTTTCAATACTCTAACTCCAAAAATAGCACCATTAATTTTTAACCAGAAGGCCCAAAATCCCTGTGCCGCATGACCTTCAAACATCAATGATGTAGCATTTGCTCAGCAAATGGCTGTTTCCAGTTCTGTAGGGTCTGCAAGCAAACTAACTTGGCTAGAATAAGCACACTTATTATTTGTTGGGCACACGTTAGGTTAGAACAGGGGTGTCCAAACGTGGCAACTTTAAGACTTGACTTTAATTCCCGGAATTTTTCAGCCAGCAATGCTGGCTGGGGAATTCTGGGAGTTGAGGTCCACAGGTCTTAAAGTTGCCAAGTTTGGAGACCTTTGGGTTAGAACATACCGTATTTTCCGGCGTATAAGATGACTGGACGTATAAGACAACCCCCAACTTTTCCAGTTAAAATATAGAGTTTGAGCGAAAGAGAGAGGGGGGGGGAGAGAAAACTTGATGAGTAATATGCCAAACCACATGTGTAAAGGAATAAAATAGAATACCCGTATATTCCGGCGTATAAGACGACTGGGCGTATAAGACCCCCGACTTTTGAGAAGATTTTCAGGGTTTAGAAAGTCGTCTTATATGCCGGAAAATACGGTACATTATATTTATTGTGTTTCAGGGTCCCAGAGGATCACCTGGGCCTCCAGGCCCTCCTGGTGTACCTGGTTTACCAGGACAACCTGGAAGATTTGGGACAAATGGCACTGACTTTCCAGGACCCCCAGGCCTCCCTGGAGTTCCAGGGAGAAATGGCGACTCAGGAATAGCAGGACCTCCGGTGAGTAAATCATGTAACTGTCACCAAAAGCTACCCAGTGCCTCACTCTTTCATGGTAAGCAAGTCTTCTGTTGTGTAGTGCATGTGCAGTGGGAGGAGGCTTGCATGCCCCTTTGCTAGCTGTGGTTATCATGCTGAATCCTGGATGTTAATGAAGAACTTGTCTCACTGGCATATTAGTAGAATTTGGGAAGTGTGAGGAAATGAGGGTTGGATTTGGCTTGTATGGTCTAGTACAGTGGTGGCGAACCTATGGCACGGGTGCCAGAGGTGGCACTCAGAGCCCTCTCTGTGGGCACGCGCGCCATCGCCCCAGTCCTAGGCCTTCAGCTGGGTTTTATAAAACCTTTTAGCTTTAGGCCTCCGCCGCCATGTGCAAAAAAAAAAAAAAAGATTCAATCAGTCAATTTCAACTTTTCGTGGGAAAAAAAAGATCTTGCAAAGTTGGAATTGATTGACTGAACTTTTTAGTCCCACTGCTGTTACCACCGCAGCCATGCCCACCCAATGGGCCACGCCCACCCAATGGGCCACACCCACCCGGCACTCGACAATGCATAAGTGGGTTTTGGGTTGCAGTTTGGGCACTCGGTCTCTAAAAGGCTCGCCATCACTGGTCTAGTAGTTAAAAGTGTTGGACTAAAACAGGGTTCAAATGCACCCTCAGCCATGGATGCTCACTGGGTGACTATGGCATCCATCAAACATTCTCTCAATCCACACTTTCCTTACAGGCTTATTGTGGGGGAATTTTAGAGGAGGGAGAACCATGTATGCTGCCTTAAGTTTCTATAAAACTAATAAAGAAAAATAAATAAATAAACACAGGCAGGTTCAAGGTGGTAAGAAAATCAAGAGCTTTACTCATCTCTGTGGATGTAGATGTTCACATTTTCAAAGCATAAATGTCACACAGAAGTCTGCATAGGATAATCTCTGAACATTTAACTGAGGAAAATTTTTTCTTACTATTTCCCAGGGCCCATCTGGGCCTCCAGGAAAAGATGGCATCCCTGGTAAACCTGGAGAAAAAGGAGCACCGGTATGTATCCTTCCTCTTCAATGATGCTCAGGATCACCAGGGTACACAATGAGGAGGACCAGCCAGGGAAACTGGACTTCCTCTGCCACTACCTACTTCATCAAGGTGTCTTTCAGCACTTCGATGTAAATTCACTGGTCTTTTTCTTTCCTGTTTCCAGGGAGAATCAGGTGAAGTGGGCTTCCCTGGAGCACCTGGACCAAAGGTACAGTAACTTATTTTCTAAAGAAATAGTTATTAGTCCATGTGTTGATTCTAGTTTGGTAACATTACAACATTGTAAGACTTTTTTTTTTATGTATAAACTAAGTTTTTGACTGCAAGTGTTTAAAAAGGTAACGATTGCACTAAATCAAGTTCCAATGTTGGTGATTTCATGAATATGTTCATGGCAACAGTATGAAACTGGTTTGTCAATCTCTTCTTCTTGGTGGTGGGGATGGATGGGTGGAGATACCAGGAATTTTCCAAATTATCCTAGGACAGAATTCAACTACTAACTAGGTCATAAACCACTGAACATTTCAAGAGCAGTTAAGGCAAGCGTTTGTGTTTGCTATGTATAACTGATTTTATCAATCCCATTTCAAAGATATCCCAGTGTTCTATGGAAGGAAACCTATTTACAGCTCATGCTCTCTTTCAAAGAGCCCAGGGCTTGTAAGGCATTGTAAGTGTTCTAGTTGCAAGTGCTGAGAATACAATATTGTGTTAGAAATGTCTTTGTGCTTACAGAGAAATGAAATTTTCTTCCTTCTTAGTTCATGGTAGCAAGACAGGTCTGTAGTGAAAGCGTGTTCCAAGATTGCCATCCAGGAGAACATAATGTTATTTTGCAAAGTTACATATGATGTGATACATTTTTAAGAAGATGGTTTCTCCCGCCATGAAAGCACCATGGCCTGGTTTCAAAATATACTATATTTGGGGACTTCTTCAGTCACTATTACCTTTTAAAATTCTTTTTTTCCCTTTATCCTCTGTGCTGAAGATGGAATTTCTGTGCCAGAAAATGGAATTATGCCCAAAAGCAGTATTATAATACATTATTAACCCAGAAAAATCTGATTAGCCCACTGAGAGATGTGGACGTAATTATCTGCATTTGGTATTTTGGCTGAAGTGTCTTCCATTACTGCCCCACCTGATAGTTAAAGGTGGAATTTCTTTTATATCAACATCTTCCTTTAGCAAATACAGGTGGGGTTCTACTTTTAACCCTCTTCCAGATTCCAGTCCTCATGCCATTATATGTTATAAAGTACACACATTTCATTTGATTAATAGCCTCTGTTCATAAAGCCATTTGCTTTTGCTAACATTTCTCATCTCTTGATTTCTTTCTCTTTGCGCTGTATATAATTCTTTAAAATGTTCATTTCTAAGTTACTGCAGTTTCTAATGCAGAATCTAATATTGCATAACAACAACAACAACAACAACAACAATAATGTTGGAAGGGACCTTGGAGGTCATCTAGTCCAACCCCCTGCTCAGGCTATATACCATTTCAGACAAATGGCTATCCAGTCTCTTCTTAAAAACTTCCAGTGTTAGAGCATTCACAGCTTCTGGAGGCAGGTTGTTCCACTGATTAATTGTTCTAACTGCCAGGAAATTTCTCCTTAGTTCTAGGTTGCTTCTCTCTTCGGTTAGTTTCCACCCATTGCTTCTTGTCCTGCCTTCAAGTGCTCTTCTTTGTGGCAGCCGCTGAGATATTGGAACACTGCTATCATGTTCACCCCTCGTCCTTCTCTTCATTAGACTACAGATACCCAATTCCAGCAACTGTTTCTTATATGTTTTAGCCTCCAGTCCCCTGATCATCTTTGATCATATCTAACAAGTGCTCAGTATTAGATCTTCCCAGGTTTTCTTGCTGGATCTTTTACTCCTACACATCTTCCTTTGATAAATCCAATAAATAGCATAGTTTCCATCTAACAAGTTTGAAGAGGTAGCAACCAGCTTGCCTCTGAATAAGAAAATGTTGGCCTAAATTCTCAACTCCTTCACAACAGAAATTTCTCATGAAGATTTACAACGTAATGTAACATTCCATTGTTATCATTCTAAGAAGTGGCATAATTTATAGATTCATGTACCAGCCACTTAATCATATGACCTGCTGAAATTCCACCATCAAACACAACATGTAGAACATAATAGGAGCCCTGCTAGATGAGGCCAAAAACCTATCTAATCCATTTTCTAAAGCAGGGACTAACCAGACACATTCTGAAACTGCAGCAAAGGCAATGGCTATGATGCTCCCTAACAGGTGTTGTTTAAATATGCTGACTGTGATTCAGAAGGTAATAAACAGCCATCAGACCTGAAAGTTACTGATCATTTGGTCTTCCATTAATTTGCTGAGTCCTATTTTAACTTGTTTTAAATTGGTGGGCTTCAAATTCTATCAGCCCCAAGTAAAGTGGCCAATAGTTTGGGCATAATAGGAGGTGCGGTCCAACACATGACGATAATCTGCCTGGACTTGAGTTAATAAAACTGACACTGGCGTTTGAGAGAAGGGTGTTTTTTAATTAACAATTTTAAAAGCTAAGAGCAGAAGTCTATTAAATATAAAAAAGGTGGTATTTGCTGACGTGGGTTGTATTTGTTGCAACTACTTCCCCCTTTCAGCATGCTCGTTCTGTCATGCAATACAAGGGTATGAACATAATTTCTAAGTCAACATATGTTGTCAAATGTCCCCCCTACTCATTTTGCTTATGTGAGATGCTTATTTTTCTGAGGTTTCTGATGTGATAAGAGATGCATGTAATTAGGGATCTGTATACATCTGCAAGCAAACAACCAGGCTTAGAGAGCACTCCATGGTTGTGTATACAGACATATAAGTGCAGGTATACATATGTAATCCAAACCAGATGATAAATATATAATCAGAACTCTATGGGTCCTGGATGCATGCATTCCTATCTTTTTATTTTGACGTTCTAATTTGCATGGCTCTGAATACTTTATTCCTTATGAGAAATAGAATTATCTTAATTTTCAATGTTCTTTCAGGGCAACCCAGGAGTGCCAGGATCGCCAGGAGTACCAGGTGAACTTGGTCTGGCGGGCCTTCCTGGGCCGATGGGACCACGTGGATTGCCAGGGCCCCCTGGGCCGGGCATTGCGGCAGAATTTGTGAGTACCAAACATTTGAGTGTGGTTTAGTACAAGGTGCAAAATGCTGAAGAGCACTGCAATTTCTAGTCTGATCTATTTATTACATGTTATTGCTATTACCGAACCATCAATGCCCTTGGTAGTTCACAGGGAAATAGTAGAAGCTGACCAAATCTATAACACTTTGAGATCCAATACAGAGTGACAAGACAGATGAAGTCAAAGAAATACAGGGAGAATGTCACTTCAGTTCAGCAAGGCTCTGTGCTAAGTTCTTGTTGGCCAGTTTTAGAACTCATGTTGGGCAAGCAATGATTCATGGATGCAGATCTTGGATAAATAAGTTTATTGCAAGAACCAGGTTAACCAGCTTTTAAGAAGAATTCCAATAACTGCTAAGTATAAAATACAACCCTTATTTATAATAAAATCAGAGTTTGATTCTTCTGCTTCTTTGTCCCAGCCACATGGTGCAACAGAGGGAAGGCCTCCCTCCCATCCATTGTAATGGACAAGGTTGTTTGAGTCTATTTGCTTCTGAAATAGAAGGATGAAGACTAGAAAAGATTAAGGCAGTGGTTTATTGAGAGAGGAAGACATTCTGTGGAAAGCTTTATTATTGGAAAACTCTTTAAAAATGAGGGGATTACTACCTATGCTCAGAGCTCAGGAAAGACAAATCTGTCCCTCCTTCATCTTTTTATTCCTTCAATATGAAAAACTTTGATCTGTTAGAGGGAATCAATGTAGGTTGGAAGACCAAGGACAAAAGACAAGTTTTTTGGGCAGCAAAGGCTGCTGTAGAGAAGAGAAAGGCTAGAAATGATGATGACCATCACAGAAAGGGAGACTGTGACATTGATGACATCACATTTCATTGAGCGAGCAGAAAATGGGGTTGAACAGTATTTATGTTATATACTGTATAGCAGAGGTCCCCAACCTTGGCAACTTTAAGACTTGTGGACATCAACTCCCAGGCTGGCTGAGGAATTCTGGGAGTTGAAGTCCACAAGTCTTAAAGTTGCCAAGATTGGAGACCCCTGCTGTACAGCATATATATATATACACACACATATATGTCCAGTGGTACAGTTGAGGGGTCCCTGGTGCTCTCTGAACTTGCTTGTTTTCTTGCAGACGTTTCATTACCCTAACTAGGTAACATCATCAGTGCCAGCAAGCAAGCTCAGAGAGCACCAAGGACCCCTCATTTCAACCCCTGAGCGACAAATATTCTCCTTCATTAAATTGTACAATTGTACCATTGTATTTTTTTTTTTTTTTTTATCCCATCTTTATTTTTTTATAAATAACTCAAGGGGACAAACATACCTTATCATTTATTGGGGAGGGAAAGAGACACAGCCTTAACAAAATGACATTCAAAGAAGACTTTTACGTGATAATAGACTGGTTGATTAATAACTTCTATTACTTTTTAGGTCGACATGGAGGGCTCAGGATTCCCCCTTGTTTCTGGTGGTCCTGGAACTCGTGGGCCAGAAGGTCCTCCGGTAATCCACTTTATATTTCTTTTCATGGATAGGAATATGGATATGCAAGCATATGAAGACTGACTTCTTTCTATTTGCAGGGGCTTCCAGGACTCCCAGGACTTCCGGGGCCTCCAGGACCCAAGGTCTGGATTTTAAAATGCTGGATGCTTTTGCTTCATTACCTGAAATGTAGATAGTTTTAATTTGGAATTAAATGATAAGGGGCATTTTATGAATCACCCATTCTGTCAGAGTGTCCATGAGCTGCTCTCCCAAGCCTTCTGGTGCCCACTGATTCTAAAAGGTTTCCTGTCCTTAGAATACACTTTAATGTTAATTTTTTTCATTAGCCTATTCAAATTCACATTGAGAAAAATAAGGTCTACAGAGTTGGAGCAGTATTGCTGATTGTGCTGTTATATTCAGAAACTGCACTGATAGAGTGGTACATATATGCTTTATTTTGCACAAGTAATTGATCTTGCTCAAGATTTTGCACAAATAATTGATAGAGGAGTCATGGGGAGGTTCCTTCCTAGTCTTATTAAAGAGACGTAGCTCTTTATGATATGCAGTGATCCTGTATACTGACCATAAATCAGGAATAGCTGTTGGACCGTTTGTTGTTCCCACAGTCCAAAAGCAAGACATGCAAATGGCGTATCTTTCTGTGTTTTATTTAGATCCTATGACATGTTGTCACCCTGATTCATGTGTCCCCCGCAAAGAAGATATTTCTGTGTGTATTAAGTAGAATTTGTAAAAAAAAAAAATAGTCCATATATCTTTTATTTTTAAATTCTAGGGAGATGAGGGCATCATTGGTCTCCCAGGTTTGCCAGGCGAAAAAGTAAGTTCACGTCAAGATATTGGATTAAAAAAATTATATTTACCATCCGCGATTTCCTTAAAGAAATGTTTTATTCATATACTATTTAAAAAGTTAGGGCTATACACACATAAAAAAGGACCTACAGTAAAGAAGCATTTCAGACTTTGCATATGCATGAGCATTGTTCATCTCTACTATTCATGAAAGCAATGTTATTTCACAAAGCAATTTGTTATTTCACAAGATATGGCACAAAATATAAATAAAAAAGGATACTGGTTTAAGGTTATTTGTTTGGTCGCATGTCTTAGTTGGCCAAATTTAAGAAAAAAAGGTACAGACTTAAGGATATTTGCTCCTCCCCAGCCAGACCTTCACATTGTCCAGATATTGGATCAGCACATGAATGTCATTGCCGGCTTGGACTGGGGTAGAGTTGTACAATTGTTTGTCATCATCATAGTGATGATATTGCAATTAGTTCTGTCGAATGACCTCACCCAGCGGTTTCATGTAGATATTAAGGAGGAGCAGTGAGAGACCTGAACCACATTATAGGAGTCTGGGATAGACTTTCCCCTCCACAACACTCACTAGAACCAGCCACACACACACACACAAAACAACAACTTCAAAACAGTGCCCAACCTGAAACCAACCTGGAAGGATACCGTGGTTGATGATATTAAATCTACTCATAATATGACTCTTAAGGGAGGCTCACCCTTTTTTCATGCTTACATGGAAGTCTGAAATAAATCAGGCTGCTTTATAGAAGTGAAGTCATGTTTGCCCTCCCAGGAAAACCTGACAGGAAACACAACTAGATAAACTAATTCTACTTTACTACAAGGCTCCATTAACAGAATTTTGGAAGTCTGGAAGTACAGACTTCCTGCTGCCATTTTTAACTGCTTGATCCATTCAGGGCAGGGCCTTCTTAAGTTTCTTTCTCTGGCTGTTCATCTATTGGGGGCTCCTCTCTCAATGTCTAATTGTTTCCTAGGCAACATCTTTTCCCCTCATCTTTCAAGGTTATCCATACATGTGCTTTCATGAAGTCTAAAGCACTTACTCGTTTTTGAAGCACACACAGCCTTAAATGTATTTTAATGGGAGTTGAATTGTTAAATTGTGATGAAAACCAGGACTTTTTTCCTTCCCACAGGGATATCCTGGCTTGCCAGGATTAGATGGTCGCCCTGGATTAGAAGGTTTCCCAGGACCACAAGTGAGTAGGACATTCAGTTCATATGCTACTCCTTCTAATTCCCTATGGTTTTAGGAATTTTTAAAATTATTTCTTTGAAAGCTTCTAGCCCTTGGACTCTAAAGATTATGATATAAATAACCTGTATACAAAGTTCTACAGAAAGCATCAGGTAGCAGGACTGCTGCTGCTGCTGCTGAAAATGGACTTTGATTCCTTATAATGGACATGCATGGTGTCTGTTTCCACTTGGCTAATTTAAAGTGACAGTGATATTTCTTCAGTATCTGTAAGTGATCACACATACTTCAAATGTTTGTTGTAATGGTGATGATTATTTATAGCTTTTAATTCATGTAAGTAGGCTCTATTCATTCATGAGAGAGATCATTTATAAAAGGAGAATAGACCGAGTTGTTGTTCGGTCGCTAAGTTGTGTCTGATTTTTTGTGACTCCATGGACCATAGCACGCCAGGCCCCACTGTCCTCTGCTGTCTCCCAGAATTTGCCCAAATTCATGTTCATTGCATCAATGCCACTATCTAACCATCTCCTCCTTCAATCTTTTGAAACACCAAGGTCTTTCCCAATGAGTCCTCTCTTCTCATTAGGTGGACCAGAGCATTTGAGATACTTTAATAGACCAAATGAAATGAAGATAGTAAATCAGAAGTCAATCAAGTGAATCAACAGTGACTTTTCAATCATACCACATTTTCTGGATCATAGTTCAGCCCTCCATATGCTAGACCACAGTCACTCTCATTTGCAGCAATTCCATAGTTGTCCATTGTGTGAAATTGCCTTCTTTACTGAAAATGTCTTTTGCTCCCCATTTCAGGGACAAAAGGGAGAAGAAGGAAACCCAGGGCCTAAAGTGAGTACCACCTAAATTTGAGAAGAAATTATGTTTGTGTGTTGTGTAATAAAATGTGGATGTTTTTCCTGAAGGATTTTGTTGAAGAACATTACAATTTATTTGGTTTTAAAACTGCCCATTGCAAAATTCTTAGTTAGAACTCTTAGAACTCTTCAAAACTCTTAACAAATATCACCAGTTCACCTAGTCCTGAAATATGTGTACAATCTATATCTTCACTGATCAAGTTGGCATGAGGATTATCTGTGCAGAGCCTCTTACAGAAAACTGAGAGAACTCTGTTGGTTAGACAGGAGAATGAATGACTAACATTAAAATCGCTGTCTTTGAATGCCCCCAAATAACAGCAACCTATAAAGCAGGGGTCTCCAACCCCTGGTCTGTGGACCAGTACCGGGCTGCGGCATGTCAGCAACCGGTCCGCACAAACAAGCAAAGCCCCATCTGCAGGATGCAGGCAGCACACAAAACCGTGTTCCTCCAGTCCGTGGAAAAGCCTCTCTCCACGTAACCGGTCCCTGGTGCCCAAAAGGTTGGGGACCTCTGCTATACAGAACTGAATTTCGCATTAAGAGATTTGGCTGGAGAAATTTTATTTTAAATATGCAAAACAATTGCTCTTCCAAAATCCCAGTTAAAAATCTGAAATTTGCAAATATTTTTTCTAAACAATGCAGGAATACAACTTAACTAGAACATATGTCAAGACTTTTTCTTTCTTTCTTTAAGGGTGAAAAGGGTCAAGATGGAATAGGACTTCCTGGTCCTCCAGGTCCTCCAGGACAAGCCGTATACCTGTCTAGTGAAGATGTAAGGATATTTCTACCTTTTACTAGCTATTTTCTGTTATTCTTCCAGAATAATGTTATCTACGGGGCAATGCTGCTCCAGAAATTACAGTACTTTAATTCTAAAGGTTAAGTATTTGATGTTTAACCCAATGTTTCTCAACCTTAGAAACTAACATGTGTGAGCTTTAACTCCCAGAATTCTGGGAGTTGAAGTCCACACATCTTAAAGTTGTTAAGATTGAGAAGAACTGCTACAACCATAAAGATATTACTGTACAATTTACTGCTATTGCATAGCTGGACATCTAGAATGAAGATACTTTGGGGTTGTTGTTGTTTTTTAAAAAAAAAATCTAAATCATCAGTTTCTGAGTTTTCAGGCATATGCCAAATGGGAGTATTTGAAAACCCAATTATATGCAGATACAATCTGCAGATGCAGATTTAAGTGTGCTCATTAGCATTTTATGGTGCTTAACTGCTCTCTTAAAATGTTTGGCTGAGCAATCTAAGGAAAAGCAGTTTGTGTTCTCGTGTTTAACAAATGGTTTTATTATTTTTAGAAAACTGTGCCTGTTTTGCCAGGCCCAGAGGTAAGTAGAAGGGGAGGCTTTATAAACATTGCTTCCAGCTTTAGAAACATTTAGTTTTTGTTGCTAGGTGCCTAAAATAGGATTAGATTGCCTGCAATAATATAAACTTTAGCTTTTCCTAGGTAAATCTGGTCCTTATCTGATTTTTTATTACTAAGATTAAAGTCATGACAATCTTTTCTCAATGTAATTCTCAAGAAGTAGGGCTAAATTTCCTCAGTTTTTTCCCTTTGGGACATCATGGGATGAGTGGACGGTGTCCTGCAGGGGGTTGGAGAGTAATATGCATGAAATCTGTGCTCTGAAGTTGCTTTTCTTTGAAGGTCTTATCTACTTGCCCACTCTGAAAGGGTTTGCTCTACTTAAGATTTCTCTTGAAGGCATTCTAGGGAGTTCTGTTGCAGATTTTGCAGCAGTTCTGTTCTGTTCTGTTCTGTTCTGGAAAGGGACCATCTGAGGCCTCTTCCGAAAACACGTATGTGGATTATGAGGTTCTCCTACAGACAACTTCTTTGTGTGAGGAGCTGAGAGAGTCATTATATTTTTCAGGCCACAGAGATATTTCTGAATTTTCCTTTGACCCTAGAGCTCTTCTCTTCTCTTCTCTTCTCTTCTCTTCTCTTCTCTTCTCTTCTCTTCTCTTCTCTTCTCTTCTCTCCCCCCCTCTCCTTCCCCTCCCTTCCCCCTCCCCTCTCTTCCCCTCCCCTCCCCTCTCCTCTCATCACATTGGTTTTTCCTGTTCGTTGCAAGGTATTCAAATTTGTACCTAGATAACCATTATCTGTCTATCTGTCAGTCAATCATCTTCTACCGGAAGAGAATATAGAACAGCATTCTATGTTCTGAGATACCCAAACTGTTTACAAAACTCCATGAAAGAAATATTTTAATAATAAATCTTCAGGGAACCATGATATTCAGGGCAATATTTCTCCAGCAGTTTCTATTTCCAAGTAGGTTAATTAAAGAAAGAAGGCCCTATTAGCTTACCACATGCTTTAATGTGCCATAGGAGAAACATATGCAGTTAGTAAAAGTGCTCAAAAATAAAATTGCTCCATTAGTCCCAGCACTGAAAAAATCAGGCATGAATCTTGATGACATGAAATGTACTGTATACCTTCCTCTTTAGGGCCCAAAGGGACCAAAAGGTGACTCAGGAACTCCAGGTTTACAAGGCTATCCCGGACTTAAGGTAAGATTGTATAAAGTACTTTCTTTAAGAAATCTGGGTTGCAAGATCATCATCATAGTGCAAAATTGTCTGTTACCCAACATGCTTTCCCTTTGCTTCTAATTTTACTATTACACTATTACTACCAATTCTGTTTTTGTCATCAGAAGTGCCATCACTGGCTCATTTTCATCCTTAAATTAAGTTTTCCTTAAAGTTTTCCTTAAGTTACAATAATATTAGCAAGCTCTTTCTTTGGTTGGAATTTGTGGGAAATAAAATAAATAAATGGGAAAATAATTATAATATAATAATATAATAATATAATTAATATAATATAATATAATATAATATAATATAATATAATATAATATAATATAATATAATATAATATAATATAATATAATATAATATAATAATATAATATAATATAATATAATATAATATAATATAATAATATAATAATATAATATAATATAATATAATATAATATAATATAATATAATATAATATAATATAATATAATATAATAAATATAATATAATAATATAATAAATATAATAAATATAATATAATATAATATAATATAATATAATAATATAATATAATAATATAATATAATATAATATAATATAATATAATATAATATAATATAATATAATATAATATAATATAATATAATATAATATAATATAATATAATATAATATAATATAATAATAAAATAATAAAATAATAAAATAATAAAATAATAAAATAATAAAATAATAAAATAATAAAATAAATAATAAAATAAAATGGAAATGAATTAGGAGAAAATTGATTTGATGATGTTCTGGTAAAACTACACTGAATTTCTGGAAAACAAGAAAAGTATAACTGAAAATAACTGTTTAAATGGCTATTGCTACCAGTCAAGTTTCCCTCTTTAAAATGCCTTTTGTAGGGTAATTTATTTTTTCCTTAGTTGAATGAGCAATATCTCTTTCTTGTGTGATCAACAGTAAGGGGAAAAAAACATTTTATTGCAAGATTATCTAACATTGCCATATTCATGTGTTATTTCCATTGTAGAAATTAACAACAAAGATATACATAATATCCAGAGACTGGAAATGATGTAGATCAGTGTTTTCTTCTTGTGTTTTGCCCCCTGGACAGGGTGAAAAAGGAGAGCCAGGAGTTATATCTAGGTCTGATGGAACAATAATAGCAGCTGAAGCAAAAGCAGAAAAGGTATAGCTTCTTTTTGCTTACATTTGGAGAATGTTGCTAATTTCTTTTGCTTTTGTGCAGCAAGATGCTGAAAGGATCTGCTTTTTTGCATAGTAAAGAAAGATTTCCTTTTTAGGGCCCCTAACCCAGCTTCTGAGATGAAGCCTCCATGGCTTTAGGATTATTTAAATCTATCTTCCTATTAGAAGTTATTTACAGATTATGCTAAACTTCAACTCCTGTAATTCTGTGGTAATTAGGCGATGCTGAAAGAGGAAGTTCCATACATCCAGAGATGTCTAGAAACTTCTAAAAATAATATGCCTTTCTGACCATAGACCTTTTATATTTACAGGGTGAAACAGGCCCAAGGGGACCTATGGGACCAGCAGTAAGTTATAAATGGTATCTTTGCTTTTATGCAAGGAATTGATTTCAGAATTCATGATGATTATTACTTCATTTTTTTTGACTGATAAAACTTTAAAAAATATTCTCACAATTGTATCCATTGTCCCTGCCAGCCAAAGTGACTGAAAGCTGCCAGCCAGACCTAGATAAATCTAAAAAGCCCATGTCCTGTGTTATTTTTAATACTGATGCTTAGTTTTTTCATGATTGTCCAGCATGCTCTCATTGGGTTTTCTGCGGAGGAGAGGGCAATATTATGGTTTTCTCTAATACGGTGTTTCCCTAACCTTGACAACTTTTAAGAAGTGTGGACTTCAACTTGTTGGCTGGGGAGTTCTGGGAATTGAAGTCCACATATCTTAAAGTCACCAAGGTTGAGAAACATTGTTCTAATATATCCAAATCTTGGCATTTCCTTGACCTCTATAACTTTCCCAGGACCCTTAGTACCAATTTTAGTCCAGTTGCTGCATTTTGACCTTGATTTTGCCAGCACTCATGCAAAAATGTTCTGTTAGAAGGAAAGTGACATAGCCCTTCTGCTTCCTTCTGGGTTTATGAATCCTGTGATATAAATAGAGTAATACTGCAGTGATTCTGGGTCTTCCCACTTAACCATCTCTTTCTATCTTTTTAAATAGAGTTTTCCATTTTGCTTTCTTTTAGGGGTCACCTGGGCGATATGGACGGAAGGGAGAAATTGGCTTTCCTGGAAGACCTGTAAGAATTTTAATTTTTATCTGTCTAGTTATTTATTAGATTTATATGCCATCCATCACACCATTCAGATTTTAGTTCCTTTCTGAGATATACAGTATATATTCTTTTCTATAAATGAATAGGAAGAGAAAATTCTTAACTCATTGTCCTGTTTTTGACTGGGATTAGAGAAGTGGCAGAAATTAAAATTAGATACATGTTTTCTTGAAAATGAACAATGAATCAATAAAAAAAGGAATGCAGGCCCTTAATGTTCTGTAGGAAACTGCTCCAGGTAATAAATACCTATGCCACACTGTGTAGTATCTGTGCAAACCAAAAGTAACTCCTTTCCCAATCTATTCTATTCTCAGAGCTTCCTTAGCAAGATTTATTAAGAAGAAAGGCAGGTAGTTTCAAGACTCCAGCAACTGAACTATTGTCCTTTTACAACCAATATAATCTAAAGTCATTGGGATAAAGTCTTCTTCATTGTTTTTTTATTGCTTTTCTGTGAACTGGTAGACTAGTGAATCAATTCACTGACAATAATGAGTGAACCATCTCCTGAATCCTTATTAATATTGAAATTGACCATTACAATTCATGAATCTTCTTAGCTATTCCTCTCCAAAGCAGAATTCTGGCTCCATACAGATACAGCTATGTCAACTTCATGACATTTTTCTATCTTCCTTATGAGCACATGGCTATCTCACTACAGTGGCGCCCTTTCTTTTAGGGCCTGTCCTTTTCCAGCAAGGATCCAGCTGCTTGACAAAATAATCCCACCAGCCCACAATTTGACTTACATGGCACATCTGCAGCTGCTGTTGGAATGACTCTCCAGTGTATTTTGCACTTTAGCTAGATTCTCTGGCAGTGTCAAAACAGCACTAAGGAAGGAGAGCAGCTGTCACACAAGGCACCAGCCAGAATCATCTATGAGCATCTCTCCAGAGCCAAGAGTGTCCTCTATGCTTTTTGGCTATCTTCCGTGGTCAGGCCCGAGCTTCTTAGCTTATCTACCCATTCAAGACAAACTGTAACATAATGGCTCTCCCTCATCAGTTTTTTTAGACACAAGAATGGTCTTCACAAATTGATGCACAGCCATAACTTCTTTCTTCTCTCCACTTTTTTGCTCTGCCCCATTAGAAGCAAGAAAGATGATGGTGGCTGGGCTGTTGGTACACGACTTCCCTCTTCACATTATGTCATTTCTGTAATCCTTGTAATGGAATGTAATTAATTTATTTACTAGTTTGTGTGGTTTTAAATTGTGGGTGTTTTATTTTGATTGTTTTTTCCCCATTATAAATGTGTTTGAAAGATTATGCAATAGTTTTAGTATAAAAAGACCACATTTCATTATACTTGGCCTTTTATAATCTATGTGTGTGGCTCATTCATCAGTTGCAAGTAATATAAGATTTTCAACCTACTGTATAAGTAATAATAATAATAATAATAATAATAATGATAAAGTTGGAAGGGATCTTGGAGGTCATCTAGTCCAACCCCCTGCTCAGGCAGGAAACCCTATACCATTTCGGACAAATGGCTGTCCAGTTTCTTCTTAAAAACTTCCAGTGTTGGAGCATTCACCGCTTCTGGAGGCAGATTGTTCCACTGATTAATGGTTCTGACTGTCAGGAAGTTTCTCCTTAGTTCTAGGTTGCTTCTCTCTTTCGTTAGTTTCCATCCGTTGCTTCTTGTCCTGCCTTCAGGCGTTTTGGAGAATAGCTTGACTCCCTCTTCTTTGTGGCAGCCCCTGAGATATTGGAACACTGCTATCATGTCCCCCCTCGTCCTTCTCTTTGTTAAACTAGACATACCCAATTCAAGCAACCGTTCCTTATATGTTTTAGCCTCCAGTCCCCTAATCATCTTTGTTGCTCTTCTCTGTACTCTTTCTAGAGTCTCAACATCTTATATGCATGTATAAGCCCAGATGTAGACATATAAATGAAGTAGGGATACTGTAGATAGAGATGATGTTTTGTTGCATTGCTTTTATTTATTTTTTCTCTTTTTTCTTTCACTCTTTTTTCTTCTCTGTTCTGTTTTATTAAATAAACAAATCCAATTATAAATAACCAAATGCAGTACTTTCTGTGGATATTTCATTGCATTTTATTCTGCTGCCCCTCACCATCTTTTGAAGGCAATTCCATTGATCTGTTGATCCTTTCAGGGCCGGCCTGGTATGAATGGACTGAAGGGAGAAAAAGGTGATCCAGCAGACGTAAGCGGAGCGCTGGGCTTAAGAGAGGTAAGCAATTCTTTGAATGATAAGAAAAGAATAGATGTGTTGCATCATACCAGGGACCTCTCCAGTAGCTTTCTGTGTCCCACAATGGCTTACCAGGTTTATTCAGGAAACTCAGAAACACAGGCTGTGCAATGAAGGTCCCTTTGCCATTGTTCTTCTCTAGCAGTTGGTGTTAAAATATGCAGTTTGTATATTGCAATTTGTCTGTCCCATTTAAATCCATTTGAATAAAAATTCCGAGAAGTTGGAATTTGGTGTAGTGGCTGAGGCATCAGGCTAGAAATCAAGAGATCTTGAGTTCTAGTCCCACCTTAGACACTAAGCCCAGCTGAATGATGTCAGTCCAGTCCCTCTTTTTCAGCCCTAGGAAGGAGGCAATGGCAAATAATTTCCAAAAATCTCGCCCCCCAAAATTATAGAGACATAGCCAAGCTGTAGCCAGAGTCAAGACTGACTTAGAGGGACATAATTATATTGCACCGTAAGTTGAAGGATGGTGGGCAGGGATGCTGTCTGTGTTCAGCCAGTATTAGTGAAGCTTCTCAGGCTCTATCATTGGGGAAAAAAGGAGAAAAAGGTGAAGTTACAACATCAAATTTAACCTTCAGTTACTTTGGTTTACCACAGAGAGTTGTTCGAAATTTGGCCAAGCATTTTGACAGTCAAGTCCTTCTACTACAAAAGTACAACTTCATAGGGAATATATTTTGCTCTGAAGGGTCTGCTCTCCCCTTTGATGGCCTGAGAACTAAGCAGAGGGAAGCAGCACACAATTGGGGGAAAAAGCAGCAATGACCCCACTTGTGGGTTCTCATGTTCTAATCCAGGGGAAACCTGGATTCCAAGAAAACTGATATGAATCTCCACAGGTTCCTCCAATACTATAAGTAAGCCGCCATTTGCTACTGCAGACTAATGAAAGTTTTGTACTGTTTGCAAAGCTGCAGGCAGAAATTGTACTTTTATTTTTTAATCTATGCCTGATGGAATGTACACAAACTTGTATGTTTTCATCGTTGCCTATGCTGCAAACAATAAAACTGAAACAAGATTTCGCTGGCGATGTTACTTTCCATTTTTTCCCCTGCTGTGTTTAGGTAGAGTTGAGTGGCTACTGATGAATTGCATCTCCCCCCCTCCATCCTCTGTTTGATATTTCACCCTATTAAATGTAATGAATGCCGTGTCTTTCTCCCTCTCTTTAGGGTCGTCCTGGCCCCCCTGGGCCTCCAGGCCCCCCAGGCCCCCCAGGTAGCACAGTACCTGTTTATGAGAATAATGTGAGTAATAGCTTAAATACATCTCGCTTTCTGGGGAACTAAGGGGATATATTGTTTTAGGGCAGAAAATGGAGTGTCTAATTCTCTTTGTGGCGACACACTTTGGGAGAAACTTTATTTTTATTGTTTCAGGCATTTGGTGATTTGGGCCCTCCAGGACCTCCAGGATTGCCTGGTAAGAAAATGGTAGATCTGGATAAAGGAAGGGGGAGGTGGATTCAAGAAGACCTACAAAACCATGATGGTTCTTGCCCATATTCTACCCTTGAACTGGGGGCTAGTTGCAATAGAGCAGTGTTTTTCAACCTTGGCAACTTTAAGAAGTGTGGACTTCAACTCCCAGAATTCCCCAAGCAGCATTGCTGGCTGGGGAATTCTGGGAGTGGAAGTCCGTACTTCTTAAAGTTGCCAAGGTTGAAAAACACTGCAATAAAGCATCCTCTCTCCAGCCTGGATTTTTCCAGAAGGGTTGGCTTTCTGCTTCCACTAACCCTGCGTATGGGTCACGTTGGCTGAGACTGATGGAAAATGTAATTCGAAACATTTGGGAGAACCCAGGTGGCAAATACTGTGATAGAAATGTAATAACTTTTTTTCCCTTCCTCTTTGGAACATCTTGACTTGCCATTAAAAAAAAAAAACATCTAGTAATTCCTGTATCAGAATCATTGCTTTGTTCTGCTCCTAAAGGATTTTAAATAATTTTGTTTTAAAGCAAGCCACAATTTAAGTTTATGTTTATAAGGCTGTTTAAATGAACAGTTTCTGAACATTTGGTTTTGTGTTAAAATTCACTTGGGTTTACTTTCTTGTTCTGCCACGCTGTGCTTTCTCGTTAGTTCTTGAGGGTGCCAGAAACTTATGTCAGTTTCTGTTTCAGGGTACCATGGTCAGAAGGGAGAAAAAGGTGAACAGGGTCTTCCAGGTCCACCAGGTAAGATTCCCTAAAATACGATACATATTCAATTTCACATTTCCTTCAACTCTTATCAAGACTTGTCATGGGTCATACAAAAATGGAAAGATACTTTAATTTCCACAATGGGTGATTGGTTGCAAAAGCTGATGGAGTTAGCAGAGATGACTAAGTTGACTGCTTTAATCAAAGACTTTGTGCTTGAGGTGGAAAAAACTGAAACATTGGCTTTGGGTTTTGCTGATTAGGTAGATTTGTTGTTATAGAAATGGCTAATATATATTACTATGCAAAAGTAAAACGTTGGGACTGTACTGTATGTTATTACCTTATTCTACTGTGCTAAAAAGAGTCAGAAGTCAATGTTTTTCTTTCTTTTTCCCTTCCCCCGCTTTTCCTCCTCCCTTTTTCTTCCCGTACTTTCCCATTATTTTAATTTTTTCTTTGTATTTTTTATTTTGATAAACTCATGAAAAAATTAAAATTTGGGAATAACAGAACCTTCCCATAAATCAGCTCATTAAAATAAGATTTGAATATAGTGGGGAAAAAAAAGATACGGTCATGTCACTGAAGGTAGAAGAGATGCTTCTTATGGTTTCCTTAATTTGTTTGGAGGAATCTTCTTCCTAAGGTCCCAATACTCCAAAACCAGTAGGAAACTTTGTAAATGTAGCATGCTTTGACCTCAGGGTGGGCTGGTTTGTGAGTGAGCCAGATGAGTTCTTGTGTCAACGCTGCTAACATCGGATGTTTTTGCTTTGACAACAGTTGGAGATGCAACCATTTTCTTCTTATGTTTTATTCTTAGAGTTAGAGTTAGAGTTAGATGATGCTGGGGGGGGGAGGAATGTGCATGAGAGTTTAGCTAGACATAACAATACTGGACCTAGTGCGTGAACCAAGGTTATTGAAATAAGAGATGATAAAAATTGGCCCGCTGGAGAACTGGAGGGAAAGCCTGCATTTCAAACTAATTGGAGAATGTGATTTATGACTGTTAATTGGAGGAGGAAATTGTGCTTTGATACTATGTGCTCAGGGGAGGGGAATTTAGTTTTTGGCTTCGATTATGTTAGTGCCAATGCTATGCTTCTCTAATAAAGATTCTTTAAAGTAAACAATGCCTCAAAGTTCTTTGGAGAGTTTCATCTGTCGGAACCATGACGTCTTGCTTTGCAGCAGATTTTTGTCCTCTCAGTTCATCTTCCTTTGATTTGCTTCCTGTGTCTTGCCGTCTTGCTAACCTATCCTGTACTGCCCAGTGTCATCTTTAGTCTCTCAAAGTATATACGTACTGACTTTTTGAATACAAATTTGAGGATGATGGTGAACATTTGCAGTTGATGCAGGTGTAACTATATTGCCTATCAAATGTTCCCTAGAATTCATGATGTGAAACTTAGTGAAAAAGGCAAGCTATGTCTGCAAAAATAGCAAACACATTGATTCTGAATAACCAGTTTTTACATGCTTCACTTTAAGCACTGAATTCCCTTCTCTTCAGGCCCGTTCTCTGTTTTCTGAAAAAATGGCGACCGTTATTTGTCTTTCTCTCTGTGTCTCAGTCCTCTATATTTATTTCCTCCCGCTATCATCAAAATGAACTAAAAGATTTTGGGTTCAGCTTTTCTTTGGTAAAGCTCAGCTCTCCAGTCTGTGTCAGAAACTGGCACATGCCTCTCACTTCAGCCCTGTTTGTATTTATTCAGGAAGAGCCACGGTTATTGGAAAGTGAGTTCCAAAATGTCCATCCAGGAAATACAAATATTTGTTTCATATAATCCTCAGTGGTTTGGCAGTGCCCGGAAAGTCCATTGTAAAAAGAGAGGAGAAAGGAAGCAAGTTTCTCAGCCTAGTACATGCTTTGCCAGGAGGACAACTAAATTCTCAATTTCTTTCTTCTCTCTTCTCCACCAGGCCAGTTCCCTTATGACCTCAGCAGATTCAGCTCCACCTTCAGGGTAAGTAGTCTTCACTTGGGAGGAAAGTGTGGGTTTATAAAGAAGCCAGATTTCTTTATCCCAGGAAGATTGCTGGGCTAATCGACACACTGGACCTCAGAGCAAGATGGCAAATCCATAAATAATATAAGGAGGCATGGGATTTTCACTGCAGGAGTATTTCTGTGAGTTACCTTAAGTATCAATCTGCATCAGTAGTATAATGGTGAGCATAACTACCTTCTAAGCAGTTGACCTGGGTTTGATTCCTGGCCAAGACAATTTGCTTGGTTTTTTCCCCAGTACTTTTCTTGTGTCTCTATTTCAACATCACTGAAGTTGTATTCTGCTAAACATGGCTGAAAGCCCAGCCCTGATGTTATTGATGATCCCTGAGGGTTTGCAAGAGCTAAAGTTCTGCTGCTATACAGATGGGGATGGTGGGGTATTCAGTGAAACAATTTCACACAACTTTATTTGGATTGGGGGTTGATTTCCAAGAATACCTGGCTGCTCCGCATTGCTGAAAATGTAACTTTTTAAACCAAGGAGCCTCAGATTATCTGGTCTGGCAAAAAGCATGTCTAGTATGTTATTTCTGGTAATTTATAGCTTATCCATGATCAAGGTATGCATATTCAAAATTGATGAATGTTAGTCTTCAAAAGACTAAATAATCATTTATTCGCTCAGAATTCTCACTGACAGATTCACAAATTGCACAAACATTTAATATGTTTGCCTGCTTACGGTTTAACATTAACTAGGAGTTCCCAGCTCAGACTGTCATGGCAACTAGTTCATTAGCCTACAGGCTACAGAAGCTTTTTCACACAATAATGTAGGCCCCTAGGGAACCAAAATTAAGTGGGTTGCAATATGCCAAGGTGATGTTTTAGTTCAGGTTTTTAAATTTAGTCCTTTTGTCTCATTCTGCTTTTTTCTTTGTGATTCCCACTGGGAGGTTTCACTTGTTCCTTTGCCACCTCAAGCAAGAGAAAAAGGTGGATGCATTTCAGTGGATGATTGTAGCATATTTGTTTACGAATTCTCTTTCCATAGGGAGAAAGAGGGGACAAAGGTGATCATGGGATGAAAGGTGAAAAGGGTGAACCAGGTGGTGGATCAAGTGCTGCTGGACCTCCTGGTCCCCAAGGGTATCCTGGTCTTCCGGTGAGAGTTGTCATAGCATGTAACAATGTCTTTATAAAATGGCATGCTTTTCTGCCATATTCCTTGATAGTTTTCAAGACGGTGGAAATGTTACTATGTATGTAGCAGCTTTGACCGTCTGTGTGGTATTGAAAAGGAAAAACACTAAACTCTCAAAGAGCAGAAGTTTTTTGGTGTTGCTCCTTAGCAAAAATATCCTCTAGTGCAGGCATGTCAAACTGCTGGCCCACGGGCCAAGTGCGTCACACCAAAACTGCGCCCACCCCATTGCCGGCAATGGGGAAAAAGTTGCAATACATCGCACGACGTCACGTGACGTTGCAAGTTTGACATGCCTGCTCTAGTGTAAAGACATGATAGTCTTGAGTAGTGTTGAGGCACATTTGGAATACAGGCAGTCCTTGCTTACCAGGTCCATGTCTAGCAACCATTTGAAGTTACAGTTTTGCAACCAATCCTTCCTTTTTTTTACTCAGTCTGCTGCAGTCTTATGATTGCCATTAGGGAGCCTTGCAACCAGCACACATTTACAACCATTGCAGTATTTTGTGGTCATGTGCTTGCAATTTGCAGGCTTCCCAGCCGGCTTGCAACATACCAAGTTAGCGAAGAATGCAGGTGTAAAAATCATAAATTGTAATCACGTGATTTTTTTACCCACTTAACATCCAAATGGGAAGTTAGATCAAAAGCCCATTGTGGTCACATAATTTTCTGATTAGCAGCTGTGGTGCTTAGTAAGGGATTTGCTGATCTTAATTGTGGTTGTTAAGCAAGGATTACCTGTAGCTTACAGCAGTAGCAGAAGAAAGCAAGAGTGGGCTTTATCAACTTGTCACTCTGAAGTTAATTTCTTCTCAGTCTGCTTTAATTTTGTGTAGGTCAGACATTACTGACACTGTTGATATTGTAGCTACTAATATCTGGCTCCATTCTTCAAAGAGCTCCTTTAAAATTTCGAATACTATGATATTTTGTGTCATTTTGTAAGTCCTAGTTAAGTGACACCAAAAATTAGTTTGTAATTTGTACTTCTTCTACTCAGAATCTTTAGTCCCCTCTAGTGTCCAGTTTATTAAATCATAAAGTCACTTATCTTTAATATGAACCAAGGTAGTCAAAACAACTCGTTTGGAGCACATGTTTTCTCCTTATTTGGAAAAGTTCCCAAGAATTGGTCTACTTATAGGTTCTTTGGTCTTTGCCATGATTGTTGGCTCCACATGGAAAGTCTCTTCATTTGGATTTTCTGGGCAGCAGCCTGACCACCTTCTCAACAGCCTTCCTTTAAAAGAGAATGTTGGAGATTGGATGAACATTTTTTTTTAGATTTTTATTTTTAATCGCATCTTTATTATTTATACTTTAACTCAGGGTGGCTAACATATCTAATACTCCTTTTGCCTGTCTTTTCTACAACTGTTAAGTCCAGCAATGGCTTCTTAAGGTGGGGGCACACCACCACCTCTTTCAAAGCAGCTGAAAGCATCTCTTCCCTCAACAAAGCAAATATTTTTCCATGGAGCTAATCATATCAGATCCTAGGTAGTCTTCACCAACCAAGAGAATCTAATAGATAGTCAGGTTAGCAGACCTGACAATACTGTCCACTTCCTTGGAAGTTAAAAGCTTGAATTCATCCCAGCTAACCATGCAAAGCCTTGCTTCTGATACCTTGACAGGACTTACACAATGTGAATGAACCTGACAGGTTTTATCTACCAAATCCCAAGAATATTCCGCGTGGTAGCCTTGCAGGTAGTCCTGTGGTCTGTCCTCCCCAGCAAAGAACCAGTCACTGTAAAAAGGGCTACCAAATTACATCTAAAGATGTGGTAAGAGTGAGAAACAGCTACGTAAGCTGGATGTTCCCCTTCTTAGGCTTAGATTAATCAATAATGGTGATTATTAATTAACAACCACATTCCTTCCTTTGGGCAAGAAGTTAATATTGGATCACCCTCTGCTTTTATGACTGTAATGGCATCCATACTTACTTTTTCAGGGCCCTAAAGGTGAGAGTATCAGGGGCCTACCTGGCCCTCCAGGCCCCCAAGGACCTCCAGGGGCAAGTTTTGAAGGACGTCCCGGCCCTCAAGGCGCTCCTGGCCCTCCTGGCCCTCCGGGACCCCCTTCTTTCCCAGGTCCCCACAGGCAACGTGAGTAGACGCTTAATGTCTTTTCAATTAATTTGTTACAAATATAGGTGCCTTCTGGATGATTGTGGTTTAATTATGGTTTCTTTCAGATATCAGTATTCCAGGACCGCCAGGTCCTCCAGGACCACCAGGACCTCCAGGCGTTAGTGACCCACCTTCTTTGGGGGTAAGATGAAGTACTTTTAGAGCATCGTTCTCCAACTTGTTTACACTCCAGATTGTGGAGTCTAAAATTAAGCCTCGCAGATTTAATCTGGGTTTATACAACATACAGATTAGACTATAGTAGCGTCAGTCTCTGCTTCAACAAACTGTGAGAATCCAGTCACTGTCTTCACACAAGGGTGGACAATCTGTAGCTTTCAACTACCTTCCCCCTCAACCTCCCAAGGTTGAATCTGCCTCCACCTGTCAAACCTCCCAAGATTGCACTGCTGAAATTTGGCAACAGAGTGGTCCACTATGGGTGGTAGTATCTGGGTCATTTTTGAAGGGTTAGGGTAGCAATTAAGGGGAGAATGATAATATTGCACATCTTGGAGGCCTCTGGTTTTCAGTTTCACTCTTGCTCCCCTTATCTTATATTGCTGACACTAATGAACAGTAGGAAAAATAAAGAGTTCTTTTCCCTCACATGTTTAAAATGCTTTCTCTCCCAAAGGTACGGATTTTAGCAACGTACCAGAACCTGATGAGCAGAGCTCATGAGGTTCCTGAAGGGCAGCTCCTGTTCATCCGAGAGAGAGAAGAGCTCTACATCCGTGTCCACAACGGCATCAGAAAAATCCTTGTGAGTACCCTCTGCCTTAGCATTGCTCAACCATAGCAATTTATGATGTATAGACCTCAACTCCCCACATGCTGGCTGGGGAATTCTGGGAGTTGAAGTCCACTTAGCTTAAAGTTGACAAGGTTGAGAAACACTACTCTGCCTCAGCCATGGCAGTGGTCCTAAGGGATGAAACTTTAGATGCACAATTATTATGACAGAATAAAAACTCTCTTCAGGGAAAAAGAACATGTACAAACTGAAACCGCAGTGTCAGAAAGGAACAATCTCCCATAGGGTTGGGTGAACTTCCCAGCCTTGATTTAGAAAGGGCTTGCTTAAAATAAACTAATGTAAGCTTGATGTCTGTGGAGATTCTCAGTCATCCAGGTCATAGTTCTCTCAAAGGTGTTTTTTCCCCCCCTCCAAAAGGCAACCGGGCTCTTTTTTTTCCCCTCAAGGAAAAAACAGTCCAGTTGCCTTTTGAAAAAAAGCACCTTTGAGGTAATGTAAGCTTGGTTCCCACTGGATCCTGTAATGTCATTTCATGTTCAACCAGATTTTGGCATCTGATCTTCTCAGGTCTTAAGCTGTGTAAATAAATAGAACTTTTTATAAACCCAGCTTCACCATCACTAAGTCCTCAAAGTCTTGGGAAAACCATTTATATCTTGGAACTCAGAAGATTGAGGAGGCAGGAAACAGACTTGTCAAATGTTGTCCCCCCCCTCCCCAAATTCCTGGAAAGGAGAACGACATGTTGAAAATGATTGGGGGGGGGTTCCCCAATAATGTCTGTTTGTCAATAGTATTATTTCCAAAAATTTAGCTTTTTCAAGAGGTTGGCTGGGAATTGCTATAAGCAAGTGCTATATAATTTTTTCAATAATTGTTTTGGTTCAATTTCAGCTGGAGGAAAGAATATCCATTCCTGGCTCTGGACTGGTAGGTGGAATATTATTATCTAATACTGGCCAGTAGTTGGAAAAAACTGTTATATAGGGAACATCCTATGCTTGCTGCTAGGACTTTTCTGCTTCAGGAATATTTATGGTTCTATAGGATTTGTTTAATGCTTGGATTTCCATAGGTAATAATCTCCTTTGTACCCTTGTAACAAATCAAGACAGCTTATCTCTTATCTGAATGCACTATAACTAGGGTTATTAGGTGGTGGAAACTAGGAGGTGAATTTTTCCCCTTATGCAAATTGTATGATTTCTTCATTCACTTGAATACAGGTATTCCTTGTTTAATGACTGATCTCTTAGTGACCATTCTAAGTTACAAAAGATGTCCTCAAAGCTACTCACAACCCATTTTTGAAGTTCTTATGTTGCACTTCCCTGTGGTCATATGATCGCATTTGGATGATTTGCAGTTGGCTCGCATTTAAGGCTATTTGTAGCGTTCCATGGTTACGTGAGCATGATTTTTTGATGTTTTTCGACCATCTCAAATAATCGAGTGTGGTCGTGCAGTGACTTTCTTAATGACTCCATGACTTACAACCATAATTCCTGGCTCAAATATGATTGTAAATCAAGGACTACCCCAGTAAAGGGAGAAATTGCACTGCTAAACCCCCCCCCCCCCAGAAGGTAGTGAACTTCCTATTGTCAAGTATCCTAAAAAATAAATAAATATGAAATTCTTGGCACTGGGGCCTCTGCCTATGACTAGAGAATTATTCACTCATCTGAATGGGGGAGAAGCCATCCATTGTCCTTGCAAAACTAGATTGGCTGTGACCGTAGCCACATGTTTCATTGACTTCAGCACAAAAATGTCCTAAAAGCCCTTTTTTTGGTGCCAGGTCCTTATATTGCCTTTGGCTCATCCCCTTTTTATAGCTAAGGCAGTTTAGTTGGTTCTAGCTGTTTCAGTTTTCAAGTAGTGTTTTTCTTCTTCTCCTAACAATTTTTGCCATTGGTATCATCTGTTTCAATTACAATGTGACATGGACAGCCTTAGAGACCAGACACTTGGCTATATAGCAAAGGCATCTGCCAGTCACAATCATTTTCCAAAATATGTGTCAGCCCCTTACAAACAGATTCAGCACTTCTTCGAGTAAACTAGACCTCTTTTTTTTTTTTAAAAAAAAAACAAAGACAAAAACATGGCTTTCACACTTTGTGAGACAATGCTAGTCCTCTGCTGAGCAGACGGTAGATTTAAATTGGGAGAGACAACTGGGTTCTACCATGTGTTGCTAGTTTATAGTGAACCAATGAAGATCTTGAAGCATCGATACTGAATGGTAGACAAATGCAAACCAGCATGCTGGTTGGACGGATGAATGACACTATGGATGACAGAAAATGTGGTAGCAGTGTGAGGGGTTGTGCTCTGTAGCAGTGATTGCTCAGACAAGCACTCCAAAGGGATCTGATTCTTCATTCCATTCTAGGACAATGAAGTCTATGAAAGGTCTTCCAGCATCCACTACTCTCATGGAGGGACAGCCTCCTCTGGATCCCATCGTCCATTTCAGCCACACTTACCAGTACATGCACGTCCAGAATATAGTGCTTATTCTACTGCCAAGCCATGGAGAGGGGACGAGAGTGCTGTCGACTCACGCCGCCTTCCTGAGCAACCTGCCGTCCACCCACCTCACAAGGGGGCACAATCTCAGCAAGAATCCTTGGACCATTTCTTTCCCAACAACCGCCAGCCTGAGACGGCTCCTTTGGTAGTTCACACACATCACGACTTCCAGCCTGCTGTGAGTGCCCAGGTGTCATCAACGTGTCCTTCGTTCTAGTATCTGCTGCAGCTTGCTGTAGTGCCAATTCAGATTTAAGTCACTATTATGAAAACAGCTAGCAACAGCAACTGAATGTAAACAAATTCTGAGATCAGGGTAGTTGTCACAGGTGTGCTGGCTTTTGGAGAATGGACCAAAAAAACAAAACAAAACACCATAAAACCCTGAAACAATTTCTTTAGGTTGTTATCCTGCCAGTGAGCAGAACAAACTGAATGTACACAACATGATAATGATAAAAAAATTGGCTTCTTTTTATGGATTAGCACATTATACTAATTTGTTTGGTTAATGTATTGCTCCATGTAATATGTATTTCCAGGCAATAGATTAATTGAATAACCATGCTAAACGGCTTACATGAATATCATCACTGGATTTTTCTTCCATTTTATCTTGAAATAGATTAGGTTAGCAGATAATGATTCACCCCAAAACAGTGAGAATCAATGAGCTTCAGAACTGAATCAGAATTTGAAATCTCCTAATCACTACTGGCTGCTTTTGAGGATGTAGATAATAATAATAATAATAATAATAATAATAATAATAATAATAATAATAATAATAATAATAATAATAATAATAATAATAATAATAATAATAATAATAATAATAAAAGTTGGAAGGGACCTTGGAAGTCATCTAATCCAACCTCCTGCTCAGGCAGGAAACCCTATACCATTTCAGACAAATGGCTGTCCAGTCTCTTCTTAAAAACTTCCAGTGTTGGAGCATTCACCACTTCTGGAGGCAGGTTGTTCCACTGGTTAATTGTTCTAACTGTCAGGAAGTTTCTCCTTAGTTCTAGGTTGCTTCTCTCCTTGATTAGTTTCCACCCTTTGCTTCTTGTCCTGCTTTCAGGCGCCTTGGAAAATAGCTTGACTCACTCTTCTTTGTGGCAGCCCCTGAGATATTGGAACACTGCTATCATGTCCCCCCTCATCCTTCTCTTCATTAAACTAGACATACCCAATTCCAGCAGCCTTTCCTTATATGCTTTGGCCTCCAGTCCCCTGATCATCTTTGTTGCTCTTCTCTGTACTCTTTCTAGAGTCTCAGCATATTTTTTACATCGTGGTGACCAAAACTGGATGCAGTATTCCAAGTGTGGCCTTACTAAGGCATTGTAAAGTAGTATTAATACTTCATGTGATCTTGATTCTATCCCTCTGTTAATGTAGCCTAGCACTGTGTTGGCCTTTTGGGCAGCTGCAGCACACTGCTGGCTCATATTTAAGTGATTGTCCACTAGGACTCCGAGGTCCCTCTCACAGTTACTACTATTGAGCAAGGTACCCCCTATGCTATACCTGTACATTTGGTTTTTCTTGCCTAAATGTAGAACCTTACTTTTTTCACCATTGAATTTCATTTTGTGTTCAAGTCTGTCCAGATTCTCCTGTATCTTAAGCCTGTCTTCTGGAGTGTTGGCTATTCCTGCCAGCTTGGTGTCATCTGCAAATTTGATGTTAATTAACCCCCCCAAAAATCACAAAAAAACCCTGTTAAGATCCATCTAGGCAGCAGTGAGCTGAAAAACTGGTCTGCATAACTTGCATTTGATAAGAGCAGATACTTTCCATTGCTAGGAAGTCACAGCAGGCATCAACCAAATGACATATTTATCCTGGCTCTTCCTGGCATGTGATTGTCTGTTTGTTTTTTCAGCTGCATCTTATAGCCCTGAATGGTCCCCAGAGCGGCAGCATGCGAGGCATCCGAGGAGCTGATTTCCAGTGTTTCCAGCAAGCTCGGCAGGTTGGACTGTCTGGCACTTTCCGAGCATTCCTGTCCTCTCGGCTGCAAGATCTCTACACCATAGTGCGCAGAGCAGACAGGAGTACGGTGCCAATTGTCAATCTCAGGGTAGGTTGGGGCACAGATCCGAGCAAATTAAGCTTCATCAAAGTACTGAGAAGATAATCTATTGCCTTTAAAGGACAAAATACTGTGATCCCAAAAAGCAAGATCAAATCATACAGACTAAACTTAGCTCCTTCCCCCCACCCAAACAATTGCAGAAAAAGATATACTATGTAACTAGTTAATTGATCTTGGTTTAAACAAGACTTTGCACAAGATAGCTCAGCAGGGCTATCAGCAGGGGATCAAATATTTTTCCCCCTCACTGTAGATGATAGATAGATAGATAGATAGATAGATAGATAGATAGATAGATAGATAGATAGATAGATAGATAGATAGATAGATAGATAGATAGATAGATAGATAGATAGATAGATAGATAGATCACAATATTCTTCTTGGTAATGTGAAAACAAAAGTGTTTATCAAGGTCAATTCAGCCATGCAGAAAGGCAACTGGGCATCACATGTTTTGTGATGAATTTAGTTTAACATTTTTGTAAATGCTTCGAGCAAAAGTATAAAGGAAAAGCTTGTAATGTTTTCAGATGATATTACAGTACAGCAAACAGGATTTTGATGGATGGAAATGTAAGACGAAACCTGAGAAAATTGAGTGGCTATATCTGTTGTCTGTCTTTCAATAGGAAGGGTCATTTGCACATATAAAGGATCCATAATAACTGACAATAGTAAAAGTTGTGAAAATAATTTTTGACTACAAACTAAATATGAATCGGCAGGGCAGGGCAGGAGCTGAAATCCTAGAATAATTCTAGATTGCCTCTATGGACATTTTATTCCATAGATATAAGTAGACTAGAATAAAATGTCCATAGAGGCAATCTAGAATTATTCTAGGACTTCAGCTGCTGCCCTGCTGGTTCATATTTAATAAAATCTCTCCTGGGATATAGTAGAGTGTTAAATACAGATATTTTAACGATATTGGGATGTGTTTTTTTAAATTTATGGTGGTATATAACTATTGATGGTTTTGATGGAACATGGCTAATAAGATGGTAAACATGGCAAGGGATTAGTTTTAAAGCTATTTTTTTAAAGCAAAGGTGAATTACGGTAATCTTTGACTTACAATAATTTGTTTAGTGACCATTTGAAGTTACAACAACACTGCGTCCCTGTGGTCATGTGATCAAAATATAGAATGGTTGGTAACAGATTCATATTTATGATGGTTGCAGTGTCACCTTTTGCAACATCTGACAAGCACCGTCATTGGGGAAGCCATATTCACTTAACAACCATGTTACTAACTCAACAACTGCAGTGATTCACTTAACAAATGGGACAAGAAAAGTCGTAAAACGGGGGAAAAACTCACTTAACAAATTTCTCACTTAGCAACATAAATTTTGGGCTCAATTATAGTCCTAAGTCGAGGACTGCCTGTAGTATGGCAAATAAAATTCAGCTCCGAGCAATGCAAGGTACAGCAAAGAAGTAATTTCATTTTTTTGTCATTATGGAGCAATCAAAATCGACTAAAGTAAATTAGATGACAGTTTGTATAATATCTCTCTTTACAAGAACAATTTTTACTTACAATAGGCACGTGACCATGGCCTTTAAAAGCCATTTCACCCTGCTTTCTTTAAAAAAAAAATCTTTAATGCCTTTGTCCAGATCAACAAGTTCTACTTTGGACATTGAACAATTAATTACCAAAGAATATTCAAAAAATAATTTAATACAGGTAGTCCTCAACCTGTGATCACAATTGAGCCCCAAATTTCCATTGTTACACAAAGCCCTAAGTTGTGCCCCGTTTTATGGCCTTTTTTGCCAGTTAAGCAAATTACTGTGGTTGTTAAGTGAATCTGGCTTCCCCCAAACCGACTTTGTCGGAAACTGGCTGGAAAAGTTGCAAAGGCGATCCCATGATCCCAGGACGCTGCAACTGTCTCATCATTTCCAGGCGCCTGAATTTTGATCACCTGACCATAGGGATATTGCAACAGTCATGTGTAAACTAGTCATGTCATTTTTTTCAGTACCGCTATAACTTTGAATAGGTTCAAATCGAGGACTATCTGTAGAAGCTTAAACCATTCCTGGCATCCCCAAGATTTAGAGTGCTTCAACCTAGCAAGTCTTCAGACTATCTCTAAAAATCTGTCTTTTCTCCCAAGCTCTGGGCTATATTAATTAATGAGCCCAAGGAGATATTATTCCCCTTTGTGTTTCAGTCTATTCTTATGTTCTTTCTTCAGGTATTATACTAACTTTAATTTTATGCTGCCCAGAGTCTGTATTAAGTGTGGCTTTATAAAATAAATGAACCAATGAATGAACAAACGACTGATATACATCTTCCCAAGGTTATAGACAAGGAGAATTTTCTAGATATGTCACCCAGGTTCCTTCAATTGGAAATAGGAAGGAATTTTGACAGATGCCGTCTCAGTGATCTATAGATTCTTGAAATGGAAAGCTCTGACTAAAGAACATTTCTAGTCAGAAAATGTTTTTTGGAATACTGCTTAGACAAACACATTGTTCTGTTTTGTTTCTTCCCAGGATGAAGTGTTGTTTAATAACTGGGAGGGCCTCTTCTCAGGCGCTGAAGCTCCATTCAGAACTGGGGTTCGCATCCTCTCCTTTGATGGAAGGGATGTCCTGAGAGACTCTGCATGGTAAGTTGGGGCTGAGGAGAGTGGTTTAGTTTCCAGTGAAGATTTTGGAATGTGCTTAGATTGTTAATTTGTTCTACTTCCTGTGGAGTGGCACAATGTTTTCAAAGGCATCCAAGGTCTCTTTTCTGATTTGTAAGCAATACGGTTTATGTCCCCACCCCACCCCTTCCCCAGCCCGCATGATGCATTTTATTAAGACAAGGGATGCAGCAATGAAATGCTTTTGTGTTACCTAGCCCTTTAGCAACATTTATTTGTATAATTTGGTGCAGAGCAGAGCAGATGTTTTGTGTGAAGCCACTATCTGGCCCCAGCCTATTTTTCCTTTCCCTGGGGTTAGGTAGTAAGATTTGCTCAGATTTTCTTTAACTTTATGGAGCATGAGTAGTGGTCACAATAGCTGAGGCACTATTAGGCACTGCAAATCTTATACAAAAATGATGGTCCACCAGGCAGAGAGGCAGAGTTCATGCATGAGATTAAGCCAAGGGACGGTTACACTGTTATGAACCTAGCCACTACTCTTCAACCACGATTTATCCCTTATTAAATTGCACTGACCCAGCCAAGCAGAGTTGACTCAATTATAGCTAAACAGTAACATAGAAGGGTATATGAACACAATCATGGTGGTTCTGCGTGTGAAACGGCCTTAATGTGTGTTTTTCAGGCCTCAGAAGTATGTGTGGCATGGCTCCGATTCCAAGGGACGGCGACTAACAGAGAGCTACTGTGAGACATGGCGGACAGATGACACCGTGGTGACTGGCCAGGCTTCCTCGCTGGCATCAGGCAAGCTGCTCGAACAGAAGAGCAACAGCTGCAGAAACGCCTTTGTCGTCCTATGCATCGAAAACAGCTTCATGACCTCTTCCAAGAAATAGAACCCCTGAATGTGCTGATTGCAAGTGGAGGCCGGGAGTCCAAATGTTCCCCCTTCTGCAATGGGGAGCAGGCAGGGGATTCCTCCCCCTCCACCGTCAATCAGGACAATGCGTCCAGCCAGTTTCATAATATAGCAACCAAGCAGATAAATGAACAAGAAAGCCAAAGAGAGTCTGCCTATGATTTCCAGCACAGATGGATGCTGTTGTTTTTTTGTTGTTGTTCTCGTTTCCTCTGAGCACCGCTGCTGGAGGGGCTCAGGCAGAGCAGGATTGTATGCAAGGCAGTCTCCAGGCAAGGTCAGCTCCCAAAATGGTTCTGGTTTTCTCTCTTTCTCTCTCTCTCTCTCTCTCTCTCTCTCTCTTCTGCCATTACAGTATGTAACATTTGATGGCCTTTTTCTTGTTATCCTAAAGCTTCCCTGATCGCTTCCCTTTCCCTCTTGCCTTAAAAGAGAAAACCCAGGTCAAATGGGATGTCAGAGATCTATTTATTTTTACTGACTCAGTACAAAATGGCTTCCCCAAACAGGGACGTGCTGATGGTGCTGCCTTTGGAAGCCCCCACTGTGAGTGTGTTAAATCCCAATCACTTGGCATTCAGGATACCATCTGCTCTTCTATTAGGAGCTAAAGGAAACATATTATCTTGCTGAAAAATCCATGACCAAAATTAAGAGTTTTCTAGGCCCCAGGCAGGCTTTCCTGAATCTGCCCCGCATAACCTCAAAAACATCCTTTTCCAAAAATGTTGCCCTGGCAACTCTGCTGGCCCTGCCAGCTGGCTCAACTGCTTTTGCTTTTTTTTTAAAATTTCAGACACAGAAGGAAGTAACATTGCTCCCTTCAAAGGCTATTTACAATTCCTGCTACAGAGATGCTACAACATCCTTTGCAAAAACAGGGTCAGAAGAGAGAGACGAAGAACACTAGTCGTTATTAAGCCCCATTCTCCCCATGTCCTTTTATTCTGTTTTTACACCTTTAATTGCCCATTTCTTGTTTTCCAAGAGACAGGAGTATTAAAAGGAACAGCCTTAAAGGTAATTTAGGTGTAGGATTTTCCTTAGAGGCCTGGAGGGAAGCAAATTTACCACACAAAAAGAATCTGTATTTGTTCCTTTATTGAGGATTTTTTGTTGTTATTGTTAAAAAATATTTTTCTTCTCCGCTTTGCAGGGAAATTGCCTTTCTTTACCTTTGCCCAGAAACTGGGTTACAGCGAATTCTGGGGAGCCCTAGAGTTTCCATTAGTTACCAAAGCCCTGCCAATCTTGTCCCTTGGCCCTGCTGATAGCAGCCACCCCTTGGAGAGAGAGTTTGTTCTCTGCTGATCAACCCATTCAGCTTTAAACCTCAGCTACAAAATACCAGGGAGCACATAACACGAGCAGTCTCTGTCTTTGAAAAGTAGTTGCCAGGTAACAGTAGAATAGACAAGAAAGCCAAATGCACCCACAAGGAACTGCTTTCAGCGCATCAGGTTAACTCAAATCCTGACACACACACCCCCAATGCCAGTGGAGGCTGGAGGACCAAATTGGCTAAGTGCTGTTAGTCACTACTTTGCAACCAAAAAGAGACCCACCCCTCCAGTCTTTGATTGTCTCTTCCCCTGCTCCTAACACTGGGGCAGGAACCATGCCTACACATTCCAAATCATTAAAGCACACGGATATTTCAAGGGGTGGAGGCCTCTGGAACACAGACTGGCGTCGTATCTAAATGCTTTGCTCCCCTATAAAAGCATGGCTGGATTCCTGATCCTGGCTGCAGCCTTTTAAAAAGCCATCATAAGGGCAGGTCACAGCAAAGCAGCTTGACATCTTTCCTCTGCATGTAGACTTATGGAATGCTATGGAATGTCTGATCCACCATCACCCATCTTGCATTTTGGTGTCCAAGACTCAGCCAGGCTGAGGCTTGCTCCACACCCATTCATTTGAGTCGGTTTTTAAAAACCAAGGTGCTAAATTCCTACCTAAGCTTTGTTTTTATTGTCCTAATAAAATGCTATTACTGCGGTGGGGAAAATTTGTGCAAGTCATACAGTCAGTTTTCTTACTGTCTACTGTATTTTGTGACATTTTAATGCAGTTTTAAAAGCCTGTGGTCCTTTATATCTTTGTCAGTTGCGTGTTGTGTATTATAAACTGTTTTCTAAAGGCACTGAATAAAGGAAAGTATCCTCCTATGTTTTGTGGGTCTTTATTGAAATCTTAAACCTAGTCCTGGGGTAAAAGATGCTGCTGGATATCTGTGAAGCACCCTTGAGTTACCGGAATCCAGAGAGGACCCAGGGCTTCAGTGTTGAAAGCTATGACTCCCAAGCCACAAGACTTGCTGCATATTTTAAATAAAAAAAATGCATTGTAAATAAAACTGCAGCTCAACAAGCTAAGAAATGCACAGAGGCTGCTGCTTGAAAATTCTCTGCTTATGCTCTGACCTACTTTCCTTTCAAATCGTGCTTTTCCAGCAAGCTCCTGAAGGGATCATGTGAGTTAATTACATAAAAAATGGCTTGAAAAGAAATGCTCGGGTTTTGTGAAAGCAGAGCACAAGCATCCATCAAAATGCAAGCTCTTGGTTTCTAATGAAGAAGATTAGATTGTCGGGCTCACTTTGGTCCTATGTCTGCCAGTCAGTATTTTCATAAATTTAAGGGCATTTTGCAATATGCTTTCTGAATGTGGCAGATTACAATTACCAGGGTTCAATTATGAAAGGTATCTCTGTTTTCCTATAAGGGGAAAAAACAGAAATGTGTCTCAAGTTACTAAGAGTCACATCACAGTATATTAACCAGTACCAACATTAAAAGTGCCTTAGTCTCACTTGCTCTGGTGACTGGCAAATTTACATGCCAGAACTAGGAACACAAATGTTTAAAAGCAAATTCATACAGTCATAAAATTAAGTGCTCCAATTATAATATTGGTAAATATTTCAGTATAGCTTGGCTCAAGAGGAAAGTGCCTGTAGAAGAAACAGGGAGAACTGTAGCTGCCAGAAAAGTCAACTGCACCAAAGTTGCATCTGAAACCAAGCCAGGTTTTCTCTGAGCTTCTGCAGAGATCCAATATTGTGAAAATAGGGATGCACTGACTGTGATAAGTGCTGATTGCCTTGAGAGCTGCAACTGGTCTCATCTCAACTGAGACATTGCAGGAAAATCCATCTCCACGTAGTACACAGATTGTGGTGTTTCTCAGGCTTTGGAAGTAGCCAGTTCCGGGCTTCCCTCCTTGTCCAAGTTCTCCTCAATTGGGCTGGAGAGTTCTTTGGCTGGTGTGGCCACTTCTTGGGGTGTCTTGCAGGCACTGTGCCTTGCCATCATGTACACAAATGACAAAAGATACAGTATGGCCAGAACAGTGAAGTAGACGAAGTAAACGTAGAACTGGAAGAGGAGAAAATGCATGAATATTTTGAAGTACACTACAGGGCTTCATAACTTTAGTGCACAAAAAAAAAAGAAAGAAAGCATCAATCCACCATTAGAAATGGATCTTTAAAAAAGTAGTACAGGTAATCCTCGACTTAACGACCACGACTGAGCCCAAAATTTCTATTGTTAAGTGAGACATTTGTTAAGGGAGTTTTGCCCCATTTTACGACTTTTCTTGCCAGTTGTTGAGTGAATTATTGCAGCTGTTATTAACACGGTTGTTAAGGTGAATCTGGTTTCCCCTTTGACTATGCTGGTCAGAAGGCCGCAAAAGCTATTCACACGATCCCAGGACAACTGCCATAAATGTGAACCAATTGCCAAGCATCTGAATTTTGATCACGTGACCATGGGGATGCTGCAACTGTTGTAAGTCTGAAAAATGGTTGCGTCACTTTTCTTCAGGTGCCGTTGTAACTTTGAACAGTCACTAAACGAACTGTTGTAAGCCGAGGACTACCACTAAAAGGGCCTTGACATTGGATCAACTCAATGGGGCCATTTAGTGTAGCATCCTACTGTCCACAGTGGCCTTCCAGACGCCTCTTGAAAATTCTACCTCCCGACCTGCTATCAGCCTTGTTATTTTTGAACCATACCCTACAGTGCCCATCAGCAGTCAAACCCAACTTCCTTCCTGTGAACACTCAGGAGAAGAAGGAAGAGGGACAGGCAGAGGAATCTTGCCACCTCAATGGGAGTGATGTGGAGAATTGGGACTCCGCGTGAGTAAAGTTATGTTTTCAGCACCAATGTAATTTCAAACAGTTGCTGAGTAAGTGGTTGGGGAGGCGAGGACTACCTGTATATTTAAAGTATGAGAAAGATAATGCTGGTTTTCATAAGTAACCTGCTTTTGAACTTTATCATTCCGGCTTCTATTACCAAAAAGAGAGTATACCTACTTAACTGAGATTAACTTAGCTCCACTGACTAAACTGGGCTTAATAGGTATTAATGGTAGGCAATGTAGAGCCTCCAGCTTTTGGCACTATAGCCAATAATAATTTATTTGCCTGCCCTTGGATTGTGTAGTTCATCGACAATAAAATTTAAACTAAATGGAAAAGTTCCACTGTGGAGAATTATCTATCTCCACACAAACTTCCTTGGGTTTGTTGGTCAGGGGCAACTTTTATACGCTCCCCCCACTCCACACACGCACATACACAAACAGGCAAAGCAAAGCCTTCCTAATAGGCAGTTTCCACTGAACAAGGATCAGCTACCATAACTGTAGAGTAACTTGCTCCTTTCCTTACCTGGGGATGGACTGAGAGAGCCAGACCACTCTTATCAGTTATGATGATAGTGATGATGGTTTTGAGAACTGTGGCTAGGAAAGTGTTGACACCAAACACCAGAGCGCAGAGTTCTTTGGACAGCGAAGATGCAATCTGGAAACTTCAGTCAGAGAGAGAAAACAAATTAGCTTTTCACGACTACAAAATAGCCTGAGCAGAAAGAAGAGAAACTGGGTAAGGACTCAGCTTTTTGCTGGATTCTGCTGATCTGCTGAAACATCTTTGCAAACGGGGGTTACCCACAATTGCTACCGTGAGTTTTATTTAAAATTTCCAAGGGTTACAGCAGACTCTTCCATCCACCTCCAGATATTTATAATACATACGCCAACACAATGTGCAGGATTACAGCCAACCCATCTGAGGAAAGCAAACTAGGGAAGGATATACTACAGCAATACTACTGCTATAAATTTGAGGGAGGGGGGCTCTTAGAAAAAAAAACCCTGAAAAATAAGATTTTTAGAAGACAAAATTATTTGTCATCATCATTAGCGAACTATTTTCAGATTAGTTACATTAACCCATTGGTCTGACAGAATAGTTAGAACATCTGATCCATTATTTTCCAGTTTTCACATCCTTACAAAAATCCTGTATTATCCAGGAATATTGCACTGTGTTTGGATCCCGCTCCGCATACTCTGTACGTGTATGTGTGCAAGCATGTAACTTTACAGACATGTAAATGATAGCTCTCACTCCAGTGCTGAACTGGTTTCCTGGGTTGACGGAGGCTCTATGTATCCATTTTTACCAGTATACTTAATGTAAATTTAGTTGTCAGTTCTCACCATCTTACTCACATGGCTATAGGCACAAGAAACTGGTAGGAGCCCCTGAAAAGGACATAGGCCACATAGCACAGCCAAATATTGGCAGTTGTGTTCATCAACAACAGTAGGCCTGCCTGGACTGCTGTCATAACCCCAATCACCAGTTTTGACCAGAAGGCCCATCGGATCTTCACAAAGCCAGCAGAAAAAGCAGTGATGGCACCTAAGAAAAGACAAAAGTTTGTCAAGACAGGACAAGCCCTTTATAGCTATATGGGGCTCTAGTTTTCTATGCAATATTCTACCAAGGGATGAAGTAGGTATATGCAGCAATGTCATGGGGGGGAAAATATTCTCAAACAAAATTTGGCAACTTTTCTGATCTGGAATGCAAGACTCTTAGCAATCAAACTGTTCTGCATCCATTCATTATAACTGAAACATATATCTACTACATGTATGCTATTCAAGGAGGCTGGCTCACTTTCAATGGCATATAAGTAGTAGATTTTGTCCAAGCCCAGAGATATGATGAATCAAAGTGAGTGCACCCAGACTCATATGGATTTTAGGATGGTGTAAATTAATTTGGGGGGATAGGAATGCAGTTGCAAATTTAAGAGGATGTTAGGATTGCAGTAGAACTGTTGTGGAATAATATAAAAAGAGACATCTCAGGGAAATATCTGAATTCTTTTTATATGGTGCTGATCACTTCTTCCAATGGTGTTTTTTTTCTTGCTGGAAGTGATGCTTCCCTATCTTTTTGACTCAGATGACATGAACTGAGCCCGTGATCTCCGATATTAGTGAGCCAGATAAGACATTCATTTTACATGCTTGGTAACAGGGGAAGTTGCATACCTAACAAGATTTGACCAAGCAAAAGAGCACTCACTGAGGGCTTAGCATCTTCGCCATGTTTCCCTACAACTTTCTATGCAAGATGACTAACACAGGTCATCTCATCATTCCCAAATGATTTTTACAACAGCTGCAAATTTCTTAGAACTACAAGAATGGGAATCAAAACCAAATACTTATAGAGTATCCATGATGACCTTAGTAGACATAAAGAACTTGCCTTAGCATAAAGGTGCTTAGGGCAGTGGAATTGGATAGTCTACTTCATTATTAGTGGAGCTCCTGATTAGTCCCTGTTGGGGGCATAGCAGAGCAAAAAGATAAATACGTAAAACACAACTGCAGAGGGAGAGAAATATCCATATATACCAAGCAGGGTAGAAACAGCTTCTACTCCACCATTGTAGACCTTTCTATTGTCCCTGGCGGGGTATATTTCATTCCATAAAATATGCACATAATAAAGCATCAGATAGTAGCCAGCAGAATTGAATATCCACCAGAGGGACCAAAGTCTCAGCTGCGGCATTTGTACAATAGTCCCCAACTCCTTTACCATCCGGAATAAGATCAGATTTTTCCAGGAAGAGGCCTTATGCCACATAGGCTCCCCTGCCCCAGAGTTCATTTTGTCCAGTTCTGAAGGTGAGGTACCATTACACCAGCTCTTGTTCCTGTTGAAGAAGAGGCTGCGTTTCGGACGCTTCAGGAAGAGGGTCAAGAGCAGCCCAAAGCACATAAAACCCAATGAGATATAATTCACTGTCATGAAAGTGGTGCCTCCAACTGTGACACAGAGTTGTCCCAACACGGAACTGGTGAAGACACCCATCAGTACTGAAGACCGGGAATAACTGGCCATGCGTTGATAACGCGACGGGGTGACCAGGGTGAAGATGTAGGAGGAGTAGGCTATCCGCGTAGCCATCGTGATGCCATAGAAGAACTCCATGAACTGCATGGCAATGATTCTGGTACCAAAGATCAGCAGAAGCCAGATAGCAATGTGGCTCAAGCTCTGTAGCACCAACATTGGCTTGTAGCGCAGGTAGTCCGTGAGTAGAAAGATGGGTATTAATACTGCCATGTAAGAGTATGACAGGACAGGTGTAATTTCATTGGTCACCTGCAAGAGAAAACCAAAGCGCAAGTGATTTATACTAGTGAGTAAACCAAAGGGATAAAGAACTCTAGTATGAAAGAGGCCACATGCACTTTCACCTGTATTCTAATCATCTAGGAGCTCCTCCTTCATGATTTACTAATCATTTGGGTGCTTCTTCCTCACATTCTCTTTTTCCTCAACAGGCACCAAGACTAATTCTAGGTACTAGCCATCCTGTGCTTGGAAAGCTGGAAACAAAACAACTATACAAGTAGGATCAGCTGATGCAAAGACCTAGGGCTGGGCCTGGGGTATCCATAAGAGAAAGAAACCTCCACCGCCATAACAACTTGACGGCATTCTGGGTGAATGGAAATACATTGATCACTGGGCAGGACTGAAAGGAAAGAAAAACAGATTCACAACTAATTCACATAAAACTATTCAATGCTACCAAGCTAGATTATGTCCTGGTTCATCAGACAAACTACTGTATTTCTATCAAAATTCCTAGGGATAAAATGGAGTTGTCCACAATGGGAAATGAAACGACAGCATGCAGCTTATAAAAGAAGGCAAAGCACCTTCAAAAAGAAAGGACCCTGGTGGCTGAAAGAGAAGAAAAAAATCTCCATTCACATGTTGAAGACAATTGTTTGGAAGAATAACCGCCCCCCTCTCCTTCCTCCCCCCCCCAGTTTATGGAAATGCAATGTATAGGAAAACTGAAAGCTGCTTTATACCAAACCAGACTATTGTTAGCTGACTGGTAATATTTCTCTGATATTTCAGACTGGAATTTTTCACAATGTTTTGATGTCTTAGATACCCCTCTACCCTCTTAGTTTTTCCAATAGTCACTCAGAGATCTCCGCTCTGGTTGAAATCTATATGCACTGTTTGCCAAGGTGGTTGATTAAGCTTCTTACAGTTGCTTTAGACTGGAATTTGAAGTATTTTAGCCATGGCAACACAGCAGCAGGAGACTCTGAAGTCTGGCTAGGTTGAGGTGTCTTGAGTGCTCACCAACACTGCTCCCCCAAATCTCCCTCAGACAGCAGAGTAGAAGTATAGAGAAGATTAAATTCACTTTCAGTGACAAGAATGCCAAAAGAGTTTGATTCAAGAGATCTTTGTCCTGACCATCCTGTCATATTTTTTTAAAACTAGAAACCTGTAGTACTCCCTAGCCTGATATCTCCCAGAGGTATTTCTCTTCAAGCAAGCTTCCATGAAATTTGGGAAGGTGAAGTCCAACTTTCGGGCATACTCCCGGGGGAAGAATGGTATGTAAGAATTTACTTCAGGAAGAATGAATAATTCCTTTTCCATAACTCAAGATATTATCAGTCCTGTTAGCACGGGCTCACTACAACTTGGCATTTGGTAATTCATCATTCCTCTCTCTTCTACCCTCAAAGGACATCCGTCAACTTGAGCCATTTGTTCTGGTCAAGGAGTTTGGGATATTTTAGCAACAGTAGCTAAGCACACAGTTTATAAATGGAGTTGATGCAGAATATATGAGGTCGTCTCCTCTATCTCTGGATTCATATATCTATACTTCTAGATCAGGGATGGACAGCCTGAGCTCCAGGGATCAACTGATTGATGCACTGATTGATTTGCAGCCCTGGAGCCCATTTGAACCACAGTTGCTGAAAATCAGTGACATGATTTGCAGCCACTGAGGTAAGGAACATGCAAAAACTATAGCGCAAAGCCTAGAATTTAGGCTTAAACTTAATGAGGAATGCCCTCCCCAACTGCTCCTCACAAAGCCAGACAAAATACAGAGAATACATCAGTCCCACTGATAGCTATAGCTCTGTCCAATGAGGTACCCAGGTTCTTCAGAAATAAATAAATGAAGTCCTTCACCCTGCAAAACATTGCCCATCATGAAATTCCTTTGAAACCTGTTTCCAACCTTTCGCATCTTACTTATTCAGCTGTGAATCTTCTCTTATAACTCCATCTGAAAATGTCTTCTCCTATGGCTTGCCTATTGAGACATTTAATATCAGGTGTCTTTTTAATATCAGGCCAGCCCATTTCTCTTCTTGGAAAATTTTTGTAACTTGTTTATTAATTTAATTAATACATGCAATACTTTGTGCAAAGGGAACAATCGTTCTTTGCGTTTTCATATTTTTAAGTAACTTTTATTACTGGCTGTTTTTCATGTTTCAATTGGTTGAGTTTTAAAATGATTTTATAAGTCTTCATTTTTGACTGAGAGCTGCCCAGAGTTGGTTGAAAGATGTTTATTTATATAAATGTTTTAAATAAATAAAAACTCCCCCCCCCAAATTTCAGCTACTAGACTTAGATTAAAGTGACAATTCTACTCCACAACCCTCCAACCATTATAACGCACAGCATTAAACAAAGAGGTATCCATAAGTCAGGAGTGATTCTGCCCCTCTCCCAACACACATCTCAGCATACAAAGAAGCTGCCATGGACTAATTGACAACCTAGGGTGCACAGCAGTCAGGCAGAACAAAATGTTTGGGAACAGATTGCCTGCCTATGTGTGATTGTTTTTTGCCAAAACGACAAGAGCTGCCAATGTCCCAGAGAGACCTCGCAAGGGATCAGAGAGAAAATAGACCTTGCTCAATACTAAAAGATCAAGTGTTCAAATAGAAACTTAATGAAACTAGAGCAGCAGGTCACAGCCACCTACACATAGCCACTGCGAAAGTCCACCTTTGGGGAGGGCAGTTAATTCCTCGTTCTAAGCTTTCGGTTCTTTAAAACTACTAAATAGAGAAATTCATAAAACATTAAGTGTTTTAAATATTATTTTAAAGAAACAAACCAGTAGTAGTATATTAGCTAGTTGAGACATTGGTCAATTGATTCTTAGGAAAATAGACTGAAAATAAATATTAATCTGTATTTAGAATGCTTATTTAAAACAAAAATACCTGGGAGGTGACCAACCACATAATCATTTTTAGATATGCTTATACTTCTATAAAAATAGTTATACCCAGCTTTCTATTTAAAAATAAGTGGAACAATGTAGTATGTTACTATATTAAAAAAAAAAAATCAGTATCTCAAGCCCCCATGAGTCATCCGCTACTTAGCAATAGCAATAGCACTTAGACCTAGTCCTTCACAGTGCTTTACAACCTTCTCTGAGCAATTTACAGAGCCAGCATATTGCCCCCAACAATCCGGGTCCTCATTTTACCGACCTTGGAAGGATGGAAGGCTGAGTCAACCTTGAGCCGGTCAGGATCAAACTCTTGGCAGTGAGCAGAGTTAGCCTGCAATACTGCATTCTAATACTTAGCATCTTTAAGGAAGAAAAAAAAGAAAGAAAGACCATTTCAAACTACTGAAATTACAAAGAGGTATTTTAATTCTATGAATGAAGATGCTGAACAGGTATCTTGAGTCCAAATAAAAACATATTTGTTTATTCAAATATAAGTTCCAAAACAAATTATTTCTCTCTGTGTATGTGTGTGTGTGTGTGTGTGTGTGTGTGTGTGCCCTTGCAATTTTCTTAGCAAGATTTTCAGAAGTGGTTTGCCTTTGCTTCCTTCCAAGGGCCGAGAGAAAATGACTAGCCCTAAGTCTCCCAGCTGGTTTTGTTCAAATTCTACTGGTCAGTGATTTATATATGGAGGCACTGAAATTGGGGAAGGGACGTTGTCTTACCTGAACGCCTTTTCTCAGCATGAGGATGGATAATCCACGGATTGGGTTTCTAGAAGGGACTTCAGGAAACCCAATCCGTGGATTATCCATCCTTATGCTGGAGAATAAGGAAGGAGTTCAAGAATGAGAATAGAGTCACAGAATGACTTACGCTTTTACTCCCACTCTTCAGACTATTCCAACCCCATCCAACTGGATAAAACTTATACCTACTAAAATTAATTTGGCTATCAAATTAGAAAGACATGATCCTGGGATATTTCTGGAGACTGTTAATAGAATGCAGGAGGTGAGGGGTGCTGCAGGTACTGGATTGCCCAACTTTGCATGAGAAGTTGTGATGATCAGTTTACATTACAAAACAGCGAAGATCAATGGAGAAAACCAACACTAAAATGTTTACATTTTTTGTAATGACTAAGTGGAATTTGTTCTTCTGGATTTGCCAGCATGAATGTTCAGCAATCCATTGTGAGGCACGGCATAAATGTCTCTTTCTCTCTCTTATACTCACAGGCACCAATGCTGTGAACACACTATTATCTACTAACTCTTCCAGCAAGCATTATTCTGCTATAATATAACTGAGTAGCATAAAGCTTCATGACTGTAAGTCATCTTAGCAAGATCAACATAATCTTGTCTCTGAGTGAAGACACTTATTTCCTGGTGGCTGAGCTCTTTCCCTGAAATTGTGTTAAGGCCAAAAGAGTAAAAAAAAAATCTGGGGAAGGAGGTCTGGCTAGTTCTATCCTGATCTTAGAGGAAGATAGTGCCCTTTATTTACAGGAAGTGGTCAAATAAAAAACACATTGTTAAGACTTGACTTTAACAAAGCTTCCTTTCATCTACCCAATAATGATTTCCAAACACAAGTAGAGTTTGTAAAGTAAAGATTTCAAAGGTGAAGTCCTTTTCAAGGCCACCATGAATTAGCCAGCTTGGAGAAATCAGAGAGCATTCTGCCATTCCCAAACCTTGAATAGGTCCTAATTTCAGATAAACCCATTTATAATTTCCTTTAAAGATTTAAGCTATGATTGAGCAAATTAGTGTTCTGACCTAGATGAAATCCTTTAACTTAGAAGAAATCTGTAGCTTCGGAACTGCATGAAGACCCACCCTCAGTCAGTTTTGTGATGGTCTCAAAGATATCCTGTTACGATTCTTTGTCAATGATTGCTGAAAGCTAATAGCACAATGCCTTGTCATTCTGAGGTGCAAAACACATGTGTCTAAGTGTACTGTAAGCCCTCAACAGGCAATTTCATAAGAAATTAAACTCCCCAAACTGAGCCCTCCTCATATATATGATGTAGCCCACAAAAATGTTAAATATGGTCTTTGGCCATCTCAATTTTATTCAATTCATGGAATTAGCTGGGAATAACCATTCATTTGATAAAGACGACAGTGTGATACTCAAAATTTAGCCTTCCATCAGCTCATCAAAGGAGTCAGTACCACAGTTTGGAATCGTAGGAACCAGTTTCAAGCAAGCTGGAGAAATTGTTAACTGATTTCACTAAATTTAGGAGCACGTCAAACTGTCTAATTCACATGACTTTCTACTTTCTATCACTGCCTGTAATTGGCACAAAGTATTAAATGAGGCAGAGCTACTACAGAATAATCATGGGGTCCCTTCTACAAAAAAGGTAAAATAAAATAACCCCCAAAAGAGGAGGAAAACTTTACAAGGATTTATTTTTTTAATATTTTTAAAAGTTCTAATGTGTACCATGTGATATCTTGACAACAACAAAGATTGTATCATGAAGCACAGCCTTCCCAAAGTGTGTCCTCCAGATGCACTTCACCACAATTCCAAACATAGCTATCTTGACTAAAAATGATGAGAACTATAGTCCAATCCATCTGGAAGGATCCAGAAAGGAAGGAGTGGTCACAGGAATTCACTCAAGCAATCGGATTAGGCATTTACCTTGCTAGCTTGCATTGCCAAACTATTTGCTAAATCAAAAGTTAAATCTCAAGTCTCCACTTCAGATTATCAGGGCGACTGGTAGCAGGTATGTTCAGTCTGAGACTCCTTTCAGTTTTATTTTTAACTGGGGGAAAAAGCAGGTCATCCCATTGCTTTACTATTTCAAAATATGTTTTAATAACTACCATTACTGCATTAATATGTTGGAGCAGAATGCAAGCATACACATACCGTTTTCTAATTTAACTCAGAAGCAAGCTAGCTCTGTGGAATTCTCTTCCCATCTCAGCCCTCATGCTGGCCTTTAGTCACAGAAAGTCTGTGTAGGTCTGTTTGTTCCTAACCCCATCATCCCTCTATGCTCCATGAGCCCATGATCCAAGAGCCAAATAAAAAGAAGGGGGAAAAAAAGGATTCATTACTCCTCCCATGCACTGTAGCAACATCCTCTTTCCTCCCTCCACTGTCCCATTAACAGAGTCATTCCTAGCATTTTGTCAAAACTATTGCTGCTCGGAAAGTCTTCTGCAAGACCACTCAACACCCCACACTTCAGTGCATTCTTCAGACCATTGCAACTAATCTGTCCTATGTCAGATGATCTCACCTGTTCCTTTGTGAAATTCTTCTCAGATCCCAACAGGTAAGGTGTGATGAAGCTCTCCCCAGGTCTAATCTGGCTCATGAAGCCGTAGAAACAGAGGTAGGTAACAAGGAACTTCCAGCGTGGGTCTGGTGGAGGGTCAGGAGGCTGTTTTTCCATTTTTTCAGCCTCTTCAGACATAGCTCCCTGCTAGCTCCTTGGTCACTTTGAAAAGGAACGGATTCTTTTCAGTGAAGGCCACAATGCTGGATTTATTCTTTGTTCAGTTTGGGTACAAACTCCAACATGCAGAGGTATGCCTGGCTGGTATGTCTGAAAGAAAAAAGGAGAGAAGTTGGCACCTCAGGAAATTTCCTGGTGAGAACATCACAAACTAATCCGTACTTTCGTCTTGTCAGGAATGTGTTGGCTTTGCAATATTTCCTGAACAAAACCGTGCTCGGTTTCCACAAATGTCTTCTATGGTCTATTAAGTATTTATATGATAACCAGTGACCAATACAGTGGAATGTTTCAAGTCAGCCAGATGAAAATATTCAAAAGGGGGTTGGGTGTGTGTGAGGGAAATCAAGGGAACCCAAATAAAGAAACATGGAACTGTGGTGAAACAAAGTTTATTTAGCTGGATTGCTGTTTTTATAAATAATAACTAATATAGTATCATTTCTTCATCTACTATACTTAAGTCTTGTCACTGAAACACACTTTCATTACACAACCTCCCTAGGGCAGACTAGAAGGCCAAAAACTTAAGAGCATACAGCAGGGGTCTCCAAACTTGGTCGCTTTAAGACTTGTGGACTTCAACTCCCAGATTCCTCAGCCAGTATGGCTGGCTGAGGAATTCTGGGAACTGGAGTCCACAAGTTTTAAAGCGGCCACGTTTGAAGACCCCTGGCATACAGGGTCCCTCATAGTGGAGGAATGAGTTGAATTACACATAAACTCAACAGTACAATACAGAATAGCATTCTGTCATACTAACTTCTGATAATAGTATTGTACTAATTACCAATTTAAAAAAACACAAAGACTCCTTAAAGTTGACTTTGATGTCTTGCACCTTCATTTCGTATCCACACTTTTCTTGCCAATGCAGAAATATTTTTGTTGGCTTTTTTTTTTTTGTGGATTTCCCTGTCTAGCTTACACTGTTGGGCTCTCCTGAGAGTGTCTTTCACCTGTGTTCCTCAAGCCTGATTCTGTCTAATCTTGAAACCCAAGGAAGGTCAGTTGGTGTTATCATACCCTTCTTCTAGTTTTTTATCTATTACTTCATGTGCTAAGGGAGGAGGGATAGATGTAAATAGGGATACTGTGTCAAAGAAGATTATGATCTTGTAGGAGCCACATTTAAGTCTTGTAGTTTTGTCAAAAATTGTGTGGATGATGTGACCGTGCTGTTTGAGGGTGGGGTCAGGAAGTTTAACCAAGGATGGGCTCCAGCTTGGAAGACTAAACCCCTGGTCCTGGTGACTGACCCCAGATTGTATCCCATAACAGTATCCTGAGACATATACATTTGCCATTATTCATTTACTAAGAAGTGGTTGCCCCGGCATATGAGTTAGTGGGGAAATGATCAAATATATCTGTTAAGAGATCAATATTCTAATTGGATCCCACCTTCACCCTCCTCCAGCTTAAACTACATTATTTTATATAATAGTTCCTCTATTTTGGGTTTTGTTCAGATTTTACCCATTGTCAGAAAAGCTATTCTCAAGTATTACCATCTCTTTTATAGTTGTCTTAGCATATCCCTTAAGGAAAAAATATGAAGTACAAAACACATGGAGATCTCTAGGAAGCAATCACTAATACACTGGTTTTATCTCCCTCTGCTCTCTGTCTTTCTCACTACTGCTACATATTAAATTTAGCCAAAGGACTATTTAAAAAGAAAAAGTGGAAGACTAGATTTAACAATTCAATTATTGCTTTGTCAGTTTATTTCCTAAATAAATAAACAGCACATATGAACATTACAGGTGACCACCTCAGAGCAAAGTTCAGACCTGCTTAATAGCACAAGATAGAAATAATTTAAGTCATCCTCCAAGTCAATACACATAACTCATTTTATTGCGCTATGCTTTATTGTGCTTCACAGATATTGATTTTTTTTTACAAAGTGAATTAAACCTTTTTAGCAATAATTTTGTAATTAAGTATGCATTTTGTTTTTTAGACATAATGCTATTGCACACTTAGTAGACTGCAACATGGGGCAAACCTAACTTTTATATGCACTGGAATCACAAATTTGTGTTACACGAACCCCACAGTATCTGTGAGATATGCCTGTAGTTACCTTTATCTTGAAAACAAACCTTTACTCTGATTCAAGTATGTTGTATTTTATGGTCAGCAGTTTGATGCTAATTAAGTCTTTACTATCCATTACCTTTTTTCTCTTAAGTGCACCCTGCACTTAAGCCAGAGGAGCCCAACCCCTGGCCTGTGGCCCACTACTGGGCCATGGCCTGTTCAAAACCGGGCCCCGGGAGAAATGGGCAAGTGTGCACACATGAAGCTCCAGTCGTGTGAGTGGCTAACAACCAGATGACTGCAAAGGAATATAAACTCTTCATTTCCCCCTCCGTCCCAACCATCCAGTCAGAACTGAAGAAGCTTCTTGGGTGTGCTGTGCAGGCTCTTCAAGCTTTATGTTTTTATTCAGCTGAACAAAGACGGGCTCCTCTAAAAGAGAGAAAACCCCGAATGTCAGAAAATCCCTATTTTTATACTTTTTTGATTGTATAAGCAATTCACCCAGCAAAGCCGACACACATAAGATAAAGACTTCGCCCTTTAAGGCTGGCACACTGTAGATAAGAAGGGAGAAAGCAGACGTAGCTAAAAATGTTCCCTTTTGGGTGTTTCCTTAAGACACCATATGTTCCCGGGTCGATTAGAATATTGTCTGTTTTCTTTGCTGTCCTTTCATGACTCTGCATCCATGATTCTGCAAGTGCTCAAAGACAGCGGGGCCATAGGAAGTATCCTATGCTGTCCCCTAATTCCAGTCAACATAATAGAAGCAAAACGTCTTCCTGAAGGAAAAATCAAAGTGCAGTTGCCTTTTGAAAAAGCATCTTTGAGGCAACCGTGACCTGCCTGACTGTGAATCTCCATAAACATTTAGTTGTATGTGAAAGAAGATACCAACACAATCTATGCTATCTTATTAATAAATTTCTGTAATAAATACCCAACTAGATTTTGGCTCGCAAGACCTAACCAAAGTTAGGCTTGCTTAATGCATGGATGAGGAACCACCAAGAAACAGCAGGGCTATAAACTAAACTGAGAAGTCTTCAAAACATTCCAGCAGGAATCAGTGGTAAACCAACTTCCATAACTGTTTCCAGTAAAGCTACAGAGACCTCACTTTTATGAAGTCTCCAGAGGCTGACTTTGACCCAAAGCAGAGCTTACATTACATACCATTAATTGAGATAAACGAGGCTTGATGCCAATGTAAACAAGAACAGGATTTTTGTCCTAGTCTGAAATCCTATGCCAACCTCCTTGGGTTAAACAAACTCAATGCACTTATAAAACCAGAGCAAATATGCTCCTAAATATACTGTTAAATCTTTTCAAGACATTTTTGTTTAGAGGACATAGAAATGGTGTCCTTCAATAGCCATTAAAACAGGCATTAAAACTAACACAAGGAAATAAAAATACTGGGTAGACTTGAACTTGATAAGTGTCCTACAGGTATCAACAGGCCTGAATTTTTCATGACTAACAAGCTTCACGGATTCTGATGTGATCAATCTATTCTGTAGTATGAATAAATCTGAATGTTACCAATGATGTTCTAAGTTAAATGAAAAATTCCATATTGCAGTAAAATTAAAATAATGAGTTTTTTTAATGTGTATAAATTGAAGGTACTTTGTCTTTCTCCACCCAAACACACATGCAGGCACATGGAACAGTTTTCTAGTATTTGAGGGGCTGCCACAAAGAAGAGGGGTCACGTTATTCACCAAAACACCAGAAGGCAGGACAAGAAACAATGGTTGGAAACTGATTAAAGAGAGAAGCAACCTAGAATTAAGGAGAAACTTCCTGACCGTGAGGACAATCAACCAGTGGAACAGCTTGCCTCCAGAAATCGTGGGCGCTCCATCACTGGAGGTTTTTAAGAAGAGAGTCATTGAAAGTCACTTATCTGAGGTGGTATAGGTTCTCCTGCTTGAGCAGGGGGCTGGACTAGAAGACCTCCAAGGTCCCTTCCAGCTCTATTCTATTCTATTCTATTCTATTCTGATTCAGAACAAAAATGCATATATCAGGAAACCAAATTTGCTTAACAACTGCACAATTCACTTAGCTCAGAGGTAGGCAACCTTGGCTCTTTTATGACTCGTGGACTTCAACTCCCAGAATTCCTGAGCCAGCCAGCCAGGAATTCTGGGAGTTGAAGTCCACAAGTCATAAAAGAGCCAAGGTTGCCTACCCCTGACTTAGCTGTAGTGATTCGCTTAACCACCATGGCAAGAAGATAATAAAATGGGACATGGCTCCTTAACAACTTCCTTGCTTAGCAATGGAGATTTTGTGCTCAATTGTGGCTGTAAGTTGAGGATTACCTGTACACATAAAGTATGACAAGGCATTCATTGCACATTCACAGCTGCCATTTTGACTTCATTCTGAATCCCCATCCTTGCAGTTGTCTCTAAAATAAGTTAAATAAATGAAAATTGTTTTCCCATAACATACAAGATGTTTATTTTATCTATTTAGTTCTCCATACTCCCTCTGGAAATTCATCTCTCAGTGTTGGTGGATTATTTTTAACTTTCAATTATTTTTTCTCTGTTAATTCCATAAACATTTTCTTTAGTTTCCTTTCTTCTATAGCCACAGTTCATAATCTATCCTGGAAATCAGCTCCCCACACCCTGCTAAATTTTTGCCAGATTCAGAATTGTGTCATTTGTCCTACAAGGTTTCTAGTTTAAATATGTGAAATAAACAGTTAAAAAACCTCTGCCCAGAAACCCAGCCAGGAACCAGACAGCTAGATAAGGTTTATGGGGAAGCGTCTGGAAAGTAATAAACACAAAGGCAACAGTCAACTAGCCACCACCTGCCAGGTCATTAGAAGTGGCTTAACCCCAATTAATCCTAGTAAGTAGCATTTATGAGTGATTGCTTCCACACCTTGCACATCTATGCTTTGTGCAACAAAGATCACAATTCAAGACTAAGGTATCTATTGTAATAAAAGAAGAAAAAAACAGACATTGTTTAACATGGGTATTAGTGTTTTAACTTGGTCTTGCCTTCTTAACCACAAAGGTTGTCTCAACCTACCTAAACAGGACTTTCTGCCTTTGTCTCAGTCCAACAATTTTCTAGCACAAAGGTAAAAATGTGTGACCCTAGAAGTTGATGAACTGCAAATTCCATCTCCCTGACTTAGCAGGGCCAATGGTGAGATATTAAGAGATCCGGAGTACACCAACATCTGGAGGTGTTCATATTGTACTGTCCATATGCATGCTAGCACAATCATGTACCAATTCTACAGCAGCAGGTCTAATCTGACTCTTGACTGGGCCATATAAGTTACTGTGCATTATTGGCCAAAATCATAAAGCAAATCAGGATTAATCTCCTTCATTCTGTAGAAAAGACAGCACACAGTTAACACTCATTCTGGCCTTGTTCCAACAGAGCACACAGATCGGTAGACAAAGTAGCCTGTTGCAGCATTAACAGATCATGGGGCACCTTAAAGACTATAACTGTATCATGCATATACTGCAACTACAGTCCAACAATCTGAAACCACCATCTTAAACTTAAGAAGAAATAAATCTTATGAAATGCAATGAAATCTGCTACAAGTACCAATTCTACAGCAGCAGGTCTAATTTCAGGTTTTCTAGCCTATCAAGAAGGCTTAAAGCCTCTTAATTTAGTTAGGTTTTTCAGCCATGAATGCCTCTTAAATGCACATACTGTTTTGTTATTAAGTGTCCTTAAAATATAACATTAGTTGCATTTGATGAAGTGGGGCCTTAGCTGAACTTGCTGTATAGAATAACTGTTGAAAGATGCCTAATTATTTTAAACATTCCAATTTAGTTGCCTTTGATATACTACTTTTATCCAACTTTTTAAAAATGTTAAGAAGAGGCACAAATGGATAATTAAACAAAATGTTTTTAATTCATAAGGGACAGCTCCCACTCCCAAATAAGATAAAGCTTTGAATACAATCACTTGCCCTTTCCTAATCTTCGTTTCCCAGTAAGATTACGGCTGTGGATTCCGGACCAGATGTTTCGGTCCCCCGTATCTTCTCTTTATCACAGAAACAAAGAACAATTAGCGGGGAATGCAAACGCGACAAACTAAATCCCTATGCTCGTGTTATGCACTATAGTCCAGCTTAGTGCAAGTGTACCATGTTGCACTTGTTCTGCACCCAGTAAACAATAAGTGATCACCATTCCCACGCACCCTCCTTCCCTCATTAAAAAGATAAATAACCTGGATAAGACACTTTGGTGTCCTGTAGCTTCCGGGTGACCCGTGGCTATTCTCCGCCAGCCTAAGCTGCTCCTTTCCCCCGACTGGCCTGCGTGGTGCTCTGCCTTACCTCACTCGCTCAATCCATTGGCTCGGGTTCAGCCTTCCTCTGCTTTCTGAACGGGGCACGACTCCCGCACTTACTACACGAGAGACATCCCTCGCTGCAGACTCTTGGCGTACAGACCTATAGTCCAGACTAATCCGCAGTTGCCGCACGTGGAAGGCGGGAGGGAGCCACAGCTCCTGGGAAGTGTAGTTCTTACTGTGGGCAGCGCGCCAGTGCAAGAGCGCGATTAAACTACCATTCCCACAATGCAAGCGGGGCGGAAAAGGTACAGTAGAAATATGTAAACAGATCCCACTCCCTAGTACTTTAGATCAAGTGTTGGTCTTCGAAAACGAAACCTGTTCTCAAGGCAGCAGCAAAATCAGTGTTTATTTTGCCAGGTAATGTTCGACTAATGCCTTGATCTTTTAATCACAGAAAAACGAAGCGTCCTGTTTGGAATAAAGTAATAATCGCGCTCCCGAATATTGTCACTCTGTTCTTACCCTCCGGTTGCAATCCAGAACCATTTACTTGGTGATAACTCTTGTGATTATATTCGTATAACATTGGAAGCCGCAGACTCACTTGGCTTTGTTTATATAATGGACTAAAACAAAACAAAGAACACTTTGCATTGTTATAGTCGTGATCCATCTCCCTAAGTTTTAAGTGACCTTTAAAATGCAAAGTGGCTTCTGTTAAGATTACGCATTCGTTTACTTTCAATATGTTTTTGCTCCTTTTTCTCCTTTTAAGATAACACGTAGCAATTACAAAGCACACAAATGGAAAGGGGAAGAAGGACAAATGACATATTTTACTTACAATTAAAGTAACACAAATGGCCACAATCCATCTAATCCTCTCTTTAGTCTAGAGTCTAAAGTTATCTGAGTGCACCTCTAATTTTGGGGTGAAGATAATTCCATTTCCCGGCTCTTTATCATCAAACGGTGCCTGGCTTGGGTAGTGAGGTTGTTGAAGGAGTTTTATAGTCAAGGCTTGCCAAAGAACAGCCCATCTGTACTTGATGAGTTACTTCCCTGCCCTTGTAGCCGCTGGACTTGTCCACTAGAGTTCACAAGCGTCCCATCTTTAATCCTTTAGCTGGTTAAACAAAATAGACTAGAGTTGGTGTACAGTTTCTCCAACCTGAGACAAGCTTGTCTGTTGCGACTGACTCTTAAATTTACACTGCAAAGGAATAAGAACAGCCCCCCAGTCGACCTTGACTCCTTTTGATTGCTTTCCCATGCAGTTTTTTTGGTGGCACTACCTAAGTGGCTTACTGTTGCTTTCTTCGCAGATATTTTTTCAACTCTCAGGAGTCACCTGTACAAAAGCCTCTCTCTAGACTTCCCCAGAAGAGAGAGAGGAGGAAAGCAGAGCTCAACTTTCAATTGGGAGATAGGAGAACGTTTTTGCGTAATTCTTTAACATCATTCTGAGATGTATCTTTAGCTTTAGACACAGGAGGCTTGTTCTTCCTCATGGCAGAAAATAAGGATGTTAAAAAAGGGGTGTGCAGTTTATTTTCCAGTTACCCTGCATTGGTCAGTTTCAATCATTTCTCCTTGCTTCCCCTAAACTAAGAGTCCACTTCAGGACTCCCTCTACTCTGGAACAATTTTTCCCAGAATCTTCAAGAAGGGCATCTGGCCAGTAAATGCTCAGCTCCATCCAGTCTCACTGACTCTACCCGGAATTAAGGGATTAGAGCAGCGGTTCTCAACCTGTGGGTCATGACCCTTTTGGGGGTCGAACGACCCTTTCACAGGGGTCGCCTAAGACCATTGGAAAACACATATTTCCGATGGTCTTAGGAACCGAGACACCGCTCTTCTATCCGTCTCCGCACGGCTTCGAGCTGGGGGCCGTTGCAGCGCCGGATTCGTTTCCGTCGAGCATCTCCTAAGGGAGGCTGCGCTGCTTTGCGGCCCTTTCCGCAGAGGAGGCTGAACTAAGCTCTGCCGGCGCTGTTGCCCTCTTGGCTCTCTCTCTCTCTCTGTCTCTGTCTCTCTCTGTCTGTCTTGTCTGTCTCTCTCTCTCTCTTTCCCCCTCTCTCCGCCTGGGTGCGTCTCCAACCAGGCTGGGCGGAGCGGCCTTCCTGCCCCCCCTTCCCAGCCAGCTGGAGCCGGGCAGGCCGGCAACCTTCGGAAGTGAGGCGAGGACAGGCGAGGTGCGCTGAGCCCCGGGCGCGGCAGGTGAGTGGGCGGCGTCGGTGCGCGCTTGGAGAGCCCTTAGGGTTGGGGGTCACCACAACATGAGAAACTGTATTAAAGGGTCGCGGCATTAGGAAGGTTGAGAACCACTGGATTAGAGAGTTGTAAAAAAAGGGGAGTTTCCCCATAGGGTGTTTTGTGTGTGTGCATGCCTATGCCTTTATGTCAGTTTTTGACTCTTGGCAGCTGCCTGGAGAAACCCCTGAAATTTTCTTGGCAAGGTAGTTCAGAAGTGATTTGCCCTTGCCTGCTTCCTATGGCTGAGAGAGAGAGTGATTGACCCAAGGTCACCCAGATGGCTTTGTGTCTAAGGCAGAACTAGAACTCACTGCTCTCCTGGGTTCTAGCCTCTGTGCCTGCACCACTGTACCAAATAGTTCTTATAATTATGTTTACTTCGTATTATTTTAAATTAGGAGATTCTGTGGAAGAAGGGCAGATAAACCACTTTAGAGAAATTCTGGAAAGTCCCTTTAATGATGCATGACTTAATATATTCTTCCAGAGACATGCTGAGTGACTGGCTACCTCAAGCGGGTATCCTAAGATGTTGCTTCATAACTCTGTTGCAGCTCCCTTCCTGTGGCCCACCATCCTTCTGGAGATCCAGATGGCTCTAACCTTACCAGCCTTAGGCAAAGCACTAAAAAGCCTGACTAACCCCCAGATGATCCCCCAGAAGTGACCTCTGTAAGTTGATTGGTTTTAATGTAGTAGTAGTTGTTGTTGTTGTAAGTTGTGAATAATTTCCAACCTCTGACAATTGCTATCTGAACTGTTGTTTAATTTTATTGTTCGATTCTAATTTTTGTGCACTGCCCAGGGTCCTTCCTATGGGACAGATGGCTACACAAATCATTTAAATAAATGCATTTAAGTAAGCAATCTCAGACTGTTACCATCCTCTAAATCTGGGGGGGGGAGGGGGAGATCACCCACACGTTCATTCAGAGACCAATTTTCCACCAGTGCTTTATTCTGGAAAAAAGAAAGAAGAAGCACCTTTTCCCTTTCCTGTAGCTAGCAGAGAGGTTAGCAAAATTCCCGGTTAGAATGAGAACACAGATTTCAGAAAAGGCCATAAGTTGTTTATTATCTAGGTCAAGATTAAGGAGCTAATTGAGGGTGGAAGACATAGGGCAGTGATGGCGAACCTTTTAGAGACCGAGTGCCCAAAAACCAACCCGGCCCCTGCCTCCCCCAATCCACCCTGCCCCTGCTCCTGCCCCCCCTCTGCCCCGCCCCTGCCCCCTGCCCGCTCATAGGGCCACTCATTGCCTCCACGGCCCGCCGATCGCCCAGGCGGTCCAGCAGTGCCATGGCAGCCACGCCCTCCGCCCATGCCCCACAGCATCAACTGCGTGCGATGGGGCACAAGGGTGGTGTCTTGTTCCCACTGCCTGGCTACCATGTCCTTGGCTGCGCTGCTCCATGCAGGCCACGCTCGGGGGTGATTCTCCTCCAGGGGAGCTGCTGATGACGAGGGGGCCGCAGCAGGAGGTGGGGCTGGGGCGATGGCACACATGCCCACAGAGAGAGCTCCGAGTGCCGCCTCTGGTACACGTGCCATGGGTTCACCACCACTGACATAAGGGGAAAAAACTTGGGGCTTGCAAGGTAGCAGCTCCTCCTCCACCTTTCCTAGCTAATCTTTCAGGCTGGAATTCACATAGTGGCATGAACACGATAAAGGTAGAACAAAACAGGACTAAATTACAAAGAAACCGTCCTGATCAGTCCTTAATGCACACAATATTTTTTTTTGCCTTCAAATCAGCCTTAACCACCACACCAAACTAGCTCTCATAAACAATTGTAAATACTCTAAATCTCTTCTAAGTCCGCATTCCCCTTGATGGCCAAGGATGGCTTCCTTCTTCTTGGAATCTTGAGTTTTTTCCTCTCCCTTCCAGACAGTCCCAAAGTCAGACTTTCCCTATTTGGGCAACATGACACCAGCTGATGGATCTTTTTCCCAGTGGCTGGGCCAGTCCATTAAAGCTAAAGGAGGAGAAAAAACATTGCTTGTAAGCAGGAGAACCCCATTCAGCAGTGTTTCTGAACAACTCTAGAGAGGAAGGAGAGGGTTTAGCAAGAGAGACAACAGCTTGTGTACACATACACACACAAACACACAATACCTTTTTTTTTATTCACATAGTTTTTCAGCTCTGGCTCTGAGATGGTGAGTTTAATGATTGCTGAGGACACATCTTCAACATTTTCTATTTATTCTCTACACCTCTCTTTTCCAATCAATTTCAGGTGGACTGGAACCTTCTTCTCAGGACCAGCTTGCTGCTGAAGCAGCCTGGAGCTGACATCTCTAGCAAATGGGGAAGGGAGGGGAGTCTTAAGTTGGTTGAGCCAAACTTTGGGTAAGGTAGGCTGAAACTCCAATGAGGCATTATTATGATCTTTCAAAATTCTTCCAACTGATGATTTGTGACATTTTTTGTGGCAGTCATCAAGTGAATCACCACGGTTGTTAAGCAAATGCCGTGGTCGTTCTGCAAATCCTTTGTCTGCAATGTGCATTTTTTTGTCAGAAACCAAAAGTAAATGCCAGTTTCCAGCAAAAAAACGTTGGAAATTGTGGTTGTGTGATAGCAGCACACTGAAAAGGGGGATAAAGGCAGTGGTGGGATTCAGCCAGTTCACACCACTTCGGCAGAACCGGTAGCTAATTTTTTAATGCCCAGGCCCAGAATGGACTTCCGGAAGCGGCATCCACACAGAGAACCGGTTGTTCACATATTTGAATCCCACCACTGCATAAATGTAGGCTAGTTGCCAAGTGGCCCAAATTCAATCATGTGACCATGAGGGGGGGGATGGGAAGCAGAACTCAGAATTCAAGCCATAAGTAGCCCTGGGGAAGTCCGTCATAACTTCAAATGGTCTATAAACAACTG